CTTCGTAGCTTTTCTAAAAGCCTCCTCCGTGAAACCTCTTATGAAGAATGTCCACTTAATTTAATATGTGTTTTTAATTTTATTTCTTTTAAGTTTATTTATTTTGAGAGAGAGAGAGAGAGAGAGTGCAAGCCAGCAGGGGTTGGGGGTGGTGGGGGAGAAAATCTAAGCAGGTCCTGCTCAGTGTGGAGCCCAACTCAGGGCTCGAACCCACGGACTGCGAATTCATGACCAGAGCTGAAATCAAGAGTCTGATACTCAACTAACTGAGCCCCCCAGGTGCCCCTCCTCATTTAACATTTTTATTGCACTTGATAACTTTTTTTTTTTAATATTTTTATTTATTTCTAGGAGAAAGAGAGAGAAAGACAGCGTGAGCAGGGGAGGGTCAGAGAGAGAGGGAGACATAGACTCTGAAATAGGCTCCAGCCTCTGAGCTGGCAGTCAGCACAGAGCCCGACGCGGGGCTCGAACCCACGAACCACGAGATCACGACCTAAGCGAAAGTCAGATGCTTAACCAACTAAGCCACTCAGGCGCCCCTGCACTTGATAACTTTTTAAATCTGAACTTGCGTCTTTGAGTTCTTGCAGCTTTTCTTGTGTTTTTTGTATTTGATAATTTCTTCTACTTTTCTCTCTTGTTGAACTTTTGTTACTTGGCTGTGAGACTCATAACCTGTTAGATTATTAGAGTATTAGACCAATCCTATAGTTTGCTTATCTATTTCTCTTAGGTTAGAGTCCCTTCTTTTCAGACTCTCTGCAAGTAAATCTCCAGTTTTCTGAGGGGTTAGAGAGCAGTGGTTCCCTGGTGCTGACTAGAGGAGGCCTAATTGCTTTTATACAGTTTTTCAGCCAGTCCTGTTCTGTTTATTGCCATCTCTGATTTTAAAGGTACTGCTGCTTCCATTTCTTAAGCCTTTCTAGGTTCTGTATTAGAAAAGCTTCCTCTTGGCTTTCTTCTGTTGAAGGTACTTGTTTGGTTTTTGGTTCTGCCTGCTAGATTTTCACTTCTACATCTGCTTTTTTCTTGGTCCTTTGCCTTTTTGTTCCTTTACTGTCTTTTTAATGGAGGCTTGCGAGGGAGCTTTTAAGTAGAATACTATTACCTTATGTCTGTTAAAATTCTCTTGCTAGCCAGACTTAGTTTTACATTGGACTGAAATTTTGGCCTTGATTAACATGACTCTTTGGTCAAGTTTTGATTGAGGCCTTGTCTCCATTTTGTTCAGTTTAAATGCATGATATCTTTTTATAGGGCATGGCTTATAAGTGATATTTTTCTAGTGACAATGGTCTGATATATTTCGTGGCAAAATGTTTGGAGTAAATGTTTTATATTTTGAAATTATATACACAGATTCTTGAATCTGTCAGCTGAAGAAAAACAAGTATGAAGTTTTGTGTGTTTTGATAGCATCAGGCCCTGTTAGGTTGTTAGAGTGTTTTATGCAAGAAACCAAAGTCATAGTTTTGATTTCTTTGTGAGATAGTTGTATCTTATTTCTTGGCCATACTGTGTGCTGACTGTTATTTTCACAGCTGCATGCCAGTAATCCTCTTAAAACTGGGTGGGAAAGCATGACTGGATCCATGAAGATACATCATTACCTACTAATGGAAATTTAGCTTGAAGTGCTTTGAATATAGAGTATTATGTAATGTAATGGTGATAATTGTATATTATAGTAAAGATTACTAAGAGAGCTTCTGTTTCCTTTCTGGCTTCTCCCCCCTTGCTTCAGTCATTGGCTTCCTTATTATTCCTCAAACACTTGAGGCATGCTTCTCTAACATGGGGCCCTTGCTTTTACTATTCCGTGTACATCTGCTTGGGTAACTCAACCTGAAGGAGTCTGCTTATATTTCACCTTTATAGTCAAGTTTTTTGTGACTGTTAATACTTCAATTAATGCTCACGCTGCTACTTGTGAGTCCTCTTAGCTGGTTTTTAAAATTTCTTCCGGGGCACCTGGGTGGCTCAGTCAGTTAAGTATCTGACTTTGGCTCAGGTCATGATCTTACAGTTTATGAGTTTGAGCCCCACATCAGGCTCTGTACTGACAGCTCAGAACCTGGAGCCTGCTTCGGATTCTGTGTCTCCCTCTCTTTCTGCCCCTCCCCCACTCACACTCTTGTCTCTCTCTCTCAAAAATAAACATACATGAAAAAAATCAAATAATTTCTTCCACAGGATTTATCACTTTAAATTTACATATTTACATGTTATGTTTATTGCCTGTTTTTCACACTAGAATGTAAGCACTATGAGGGCAAAGATCTTTGGTTTATTCACAGATGTATCTCAAGCATCTAGAACAGCTGCTAGTGTAGAAGCACTGGAAAGATATGAATGAAAGGCGTTCTGTTTCATCTGCTTACTTCCAGACAGCCCTCTAAAACCCCTTTATTGTGCCTTCCTCTACACTGCAAAATTGGAAAAATAAACTTTTTTCTCTTTATAATTTTCCCTTGGTTAGCCTCAGAGGGGCTTCTCTGAGGGTGTGATAAAAGAAGCTGAAGAATTAGAGATGTGTTCTGCTCTTGTGCATATGAACTTACGTGTTTTCTGTCAAGCTTTCACATATTTCTGTAGAGCAAAATTTTGCTTTGGTATAGGTTCTTCTTTGTCATAACTCAGTAGAGCACAAGTGCTGAAAATGTTTGCTTATTTATAGCACGCATGCTTCCTGCCCACACACATAGACATTATAATGCTGCTCACATTGATACAGTGCTTATTTTGTCTTGGTTTTTCATGTTTTATTTAGTTTGTCTTCACAGCTGCCTCATAATAAAGTGTGGGTGCTGTTACATTATTATTTTAATAATAGTGAATACTCTAAGACACACATTATATAAGTTGCCCAAGGTCATACAATTATTATGTAGTAGAGCTGGGATTTGAACTTTGGAAATCTGGCTCCAGAGTCCATGTTCTTAGCCTTTTTACAAAATTTGTGGTAAAATCTATGTAACATAGAAGTTATCATTTTTTAAGTGGCATTAAGTACATTCAAAATGTTGTACAACCATCATTGCTCTTCATTTCCAGAATTTCCACTCTCCCTTCAGACCTCTATTTTACTACTTCTCTTTATAAATTTGCTTATTCTAGGTATTTCATATAAGTGAAATCATAAAATGTTAATTTTTTTGTGTTTGGCTTATTTTCCTGAGCATAATATTTTCAAAGTTTGTCATGTCACGTGTATTAATTTCATTCCTTTTTAAGGCAGAATAATACCCCATTTTATGTATATCACATTTTGTTTATTTGTTCATCTCTTGATGGACCTTTGGATGGTTTCTACCTTTTGACTCTTGTGAATGATGTTGTTGTGAACATTGGTTTGCAAGTATCTATTTAAATCCCTGTTTTCAGTTCTTTTGGGTGTAATTTTTGGATCATATGGTAGTTCTGTGTTTAACTTTTTCTTTTTTTTTTTAAGTAAGCTCTGTGTTCAATGTGGGGCTCAAACTCACAACCCTGAGGTCAAGAGTCTCCTTCTCCACTGACTGAGCCAGCCAGGCACCCCTCTCTTAACTGTTTTTGATACAGAGAAATACAGTAGTATATACTCAAAGAGGAATTTTTTTTTTTTTTTTTGAGTTCAAATAATTGTGTCATAGTCCTTTTTATTCTGTTGTTAGTCAACTGAAGACTGTCTGAGATGTATAGTATCAACTGCTGGAAGATAGGGAACCTTGATACATGTGTATTTTATAAGTGCCTTTTAAAAAAAATAAATGTTTATTTTTGAGAGAGTGTGAGCAGGGGAGGGGCAGAGAGTAAGGGGGACAGAGGGTCTAAAGTGGGTTCTGTGCTGACAGCAGCGAGCCTGATGCGGGGCTTGAGCTCACGAACCGCAAGATCATGACATATGCTCAACTGACTGAGCCACCCCGGTACCCTTATTTGGTGCCTCATTTGATGGGAGCATTTAGCCAAATTGGCCAATTTAGCTCATTTCTTTCTACATCAATACATTCTGTGCTATGTTCTCTAGTAAATCTGCTAGTATAATCTGATCTTTCCCTATCATTCCTTCATAATCTTCCATGTGAAACTTCTCCTTTTGAAAAAATATAGCCTTTTCCAAAATATCCTCTGAATCCATTGTTTGCCTGACATTTTTCTTTTCTTTTTCCTTTTTTTTGATGGTTGGGAGGGACAGAGGGCGAGGGAGAATCCCAAGCTAGCTCCATGCCCCACATAGGGGCTTGGATCTCGTGACCTTGAGATTATGACCTGAGCCAAAATCAAGAGTTGGATGACCAACTGACTGAGCCATTCAGGCGCCCCTGTTTGCTTGATGTTTTTGTTAAATTTTGTAAGGTATTTGGTGCATTTTCTAATTTCATGATTTAAGTTCATTTTGTGTACTGTATAACTTAATTTATAACCTAATTCTTTAAAAAAAATTTTTTTTAATGTTTATTTTAGAGAGAGGAGAGAGGGAGAGACAGAGCGCAAGCAGGTGAGGGGTAGAGAGACACAGAACCTGAAGCAGGCTCCAGGCTCTCAACTGTCAGCACAAAGCCTGATGCAGGGCTCAAACCCATGAACTGTGAGGTCATGACCTAAACTGAAGTTGGATGCTTAACCAACTGAGCTACCCAGGCACCTTTATAACTTAATATTTATTCTTCTGTTCATTTTGGTCTGTTTTTAATTCTTATTTTATATTTTGAGTTCTTTGTGGATATTGAGGACTTAAACCTGTTTAGTTTTCTCAAGGTATGTAGAGTACAAAGTATAAATTCACTAAATGTTTTTGAGTGCCTAGTTCATTGAAAATAGACACATTAAAATTTCAAAAAATCATTGTCTGTTTCATACTTTCATTGTTGACAAGTTACAATTTTACCAGATATTTATGGAAAGGAAATAAGAAATCTAAGCTCAGAATAATTTTTGTATTTAGGAGGCAAGATACAGAATCAGAATACATGAATGTTTGTTCTTTCCTTAAATAATGTTTACTTTGTTTTCAGATTGTTGCCAGCAAAGGAGGTTTTGAAATGGTCACCAAGGAGAAGAAATGGTCTAAAGTGGGTAGTCGCTTGGGATATCTGCCAGGAAAAGGAACTGGGTCTCTTTTGAAGTCACACTATGAAAGAATTCTCTACCCATACGAGCTTTTCCAATCTGGTGTCAGCCTTATGGTGAGATGCATCATTTTTTTTTTTTTAGGAGTGGATAAATCCAGTCTGCCCAAATTTGAATGTTAGACTATGTTAACCATAACAAGTTAGCAGTTTGCTAAGCATCGCAAATTAAAAAAATTTCTCCTGGTACCAAAATTTGGGATAGCAAGGTGTAGTTTAAAAATTGCAGCTATATTTGGTGGTTTACAAGGTAAAGGCTAATGGGAATGAAGGCCATTTATTTATTTATTTAATAATAAATCCTCATGACTTAAGCTTTTTAAAAAATTTCTCCTCTTGGTTTCATGTATTTTTTTTAACAGATTTGTTGAGGTATAATTTTACATACCATAGAATTCAATCATTGCAGATACAGTCAATAAGCTTTAATAAATTATGCATTTATGTAGTAATCACCACAATTCAGTTTTAGAATATTTCCATCAGCCCAGAAAGTTCCTTTGTGTTTAGTTGTAGTTGGTTCCTGTTCCTACTTTCAAACCCAGTTAATACCTGATCTGCTTTCTGGCTCTGTAGTTTTTGGCCTTTGTAGAAATTTCACAAAGATGGAATCATACAATAGAATTTTGTGTCTGGCTTCTTTCACTTAGCCTAATGTTTCTAAGGTTCATTTGTGTTTTAGCCTCTGTATTAATACTTCATTCTTTTTTATGGCTGATAATATTCCATTGTATGGATATACCATATTTGTTTATCCATTTACCAATTGGTGGACAGTTGGATTGTTTCCAGTTTATGGCTATTATGAATAAATGCTATGAATATTCATGTATAAGTCTTTGTGTGGACATATGTTTTCATTTCTCTTGGGTAGATACCTAGGAGTGGAATTGCTGGGTTATATGGTAAGTTTATGTTTAACTTTTTAAGAAACTGCCAAACTGTTTTCCAAAGTGGCTGAACCATTTTACATTCCCACCAGTAATGTAGAGGCCTCCAGTTTCTTTGTCTTCGCCAACACTTGATATTGTCAGTTTTTTTGCTTATAGCCATTCTAGTGGGTGTGTAGTGGTATCTCATTGTGGTTTTAATTTTCATTTCCCTGATGATCAGTGGTGGTGTGCATCTTTTCATGTGCATATTAGCCATTTGCATATCTTTCTTGATGAAGTGTCTGTTCTGATCTTTTTTTTATTGGGTTGTTTGTCATACTTATTTTAAGAGTTTGCTATAGAACCTGGATACAAGTCATTTATCAGGTATATAATTTTACAAATACTTTCTGCTAGTCTGTGGTTTGCCTTTTCATTTTTATAATGGTGTCTGTTTGAAGAGTAGTTTATTGACTTCCCTCCCCTCTACTTCTATGGATTGTGCTTTTATTGTCCTAAGAAATCTTTTCCTAACCCAAGGCCCCAAAGCTATTCTTTTTTGTTTTCGTCTAGAAGTTTTATAGTTTTAGCTTTTATATTTAGGTCTGAGATCCATTTTCAGGTTGTGTGTGTGTGTATGTGTGTGTGTGTGTGTGTAGCATGAGGTAAAAGTTTAAGTTCATTTGTGTGTGTGTGTGTGTGTGTGTGTGTGTGTGTGTGTGTGTATGAATATCCAGCTGTACCAGTATCATTTGTTTAAATTTTCCCATTTACTTTGACACCTTTGTTGAAAATCTGTTGACTATAAATGTAGGTTTATTTCTGGTCTCTGTTTTGTTCTTTGATCCATATATTTACCCTGATACCAATACTGTGCTGTTTTGAGTACTATAGTTTTATAGTAAGTTTTGATATCCAGTAGTATTAGGTATTCCAGCTTGGTTCTTCTTTTTTCAGAACTTCCAAACAATTTACATTTGCGCATGAATTTTAGGACTGACTTCTCAATTTCTACAACAAAAGCCTGCTAGCATTTTGATAGGGATTGTCTTGAATCTGTAGGTCAGTTTGGTGGCTAGAAATATCACCAGCTTTCATGTAATTTTGGGAATTTATTGGAAATTTGTTATTTTTCTCATTCTCAAATCCGACTTATCAGTGAATCTGCTCTCTTTGTGTGCTCTGATTCTTTAGGGTGTACAAATGCCTAATTTAGATCTAAAGGAAAAAGTAGAGCCTGAGGTTCTTGGCACTGATGTCCAAACTTCCCCAGAGCCGGGCACAAGAATGAACATTCTGCCGAAAAGAACAAGACGTGTCAAGTCTCAGGTATCAGCTTCCATGGGTCATTTTTAACATGCGATTTAAGTGCATTGATTGTGTAGAACAGCTATGTGGTTATTGGAGGCAGTCACATACTGTTCTTTAGAACTTAAAAAGACCTCTTTCATTTACTTTTACAGTGAACAAGGGAAGAAATTATAAAATTCGGTCTGATTTGATTTAGCAAGATTTTTGTTAATTTTGAAGAGTTTTTGACAGGGATGACAGTTACCCAGGGTAACTCTGGGTGTTGTAGGGCCAGCGTTATAGACATGCTGATGATCTATAGTAAAAGGTGAAAGATTTATGTGATCTGAAGAGAAACCAGAGTATGATGATGATCTGTAGTATATTCTATTTTCATGGTTAGTAGAAGTGAGAGGAGTAGGAAAGGGTGGTTTTATTTTTCACTCATTCCTTTAGAAGCCAGAGTGTGAGTTTGTGTCTTAGCTTCTAGAGTGTGCTTGTAGCCTGAAATAATTTCATCAGAAGAAAAATACACTAATTCTTTTCATCTTCCCTTGTCCTCCTTTTCCCATTCCCATTTGTGGCCCTCAAAGTTATATTTTTTAAAGTTGTTAGTAAAGACAGGACTGTAGGTTGACAGATGCTCTTAGAACTCTTAGATTTATTTCATTTAACCTATGGTTGGACCAAAAGAGCAGCCTAACTTGATCCTAATTGTTGGTTTTAACATATCTAAAGAAACGTCGTGTTGTCAGAATGGAAATGGTTTCCATTGAAAGTAGGAACCAGAGCAGAGTGGCTGGGTGGGCTAGGTGGCTCAGTTGGTTAAGCACCTGACTCTTGATTTCTCACGGTTTGTGGAATGGAGTCCTGCATAGAGCTCAACAGATTCTCTCTCTCTCCTCTGTCTGTCCCTCCCTACTCTGCTCACGCTCATGCTCGCTCGCGCGCGCTCTCTCTCTCTCTCTCTCAGTAAATAAACCAACATTAAAAAAGTAATAAAGTGGGAATCAGAGAAGGAAGTTGGTCTATTCATTATTAACAAGACTTATTGGACCTAGGGTTGTGAGGAGTTCTTAGTAGAGAGGAAGGTAGTTGATATTTCATCTTGCTTTTCTAGAGCTCAGGGGATATCTGTCTTTCATGCCATGGCACCATTCTTTGCTCTATATTTATGCTCCTTTTTTAATTTTTTTTAACTTTTTAATGTTTATTTTTGATAGAGAGAGAACACAAGCAGGGAGAGACAGAGAGAGGGAGACACAGAATCGGAAACAGGCTCCAGGCTCTGAGCTGTCAGCACAGAGCCTGAAGTGGGGCTTGAACTCAGAAACCATGAGTCATGACCTGAGCTGAAGTTGGATGCTTAGCCGACTGAGCCACCCAGGTGCCCCTCTTTTTTTTTTTTTTTTTAATGTTTATTTATTTTAGAGAGAACGTGTATGCATGAGCATGAATGGGGAATGGGGGAGAGAGAGGGAGACACAATTTGAAGCAGGCTCCAATGTGGCCCAAAGTGGAGCTTGAGAACTCATGAACTGTGAGGTCATGACCAAACTGAAGTTGGACGCTTAACCGACTGTGCCACCCAGGTGCCCCTGAATTTACGCTCCTTAAATAATCTCCTTGATAGTAATTTAGCTTCTTAGGTACTTTGATAACAGAAAGTAAGTGTCTTGGGGATGGGGAGTGTGAATTTAATAGAAATTCATTGAAAAGTGAGTTATTCACTTATTAGTAAGTTATCAATATATAACATAAATCACTTAATTCATAGCTTAGTTATGTTTTATTATGTATTTTTAATTTATATTTATCATAGTAGGAATTTTTAAAAAAAATTTTATTTAATGTTTATTTATTTTGAGACAGAAAGAGAGCAAGTGGGGGAAGCAGAGAAAGGGAGGGAGAGAGAATCCCAAGTAGGCTCCATGCTGTCAGAGCAGAGCCCAGCATAGGACTTGATCTCACAGATTGTGCGATCATGACCTGAACCGAAATGAAAAGTCAAACGCTTAACTGACTTGAGTCACCCAGGCGCCCATATCATAGTAGAAATTTCTAATTATAAACCGTTATAAATTAGTAAACTCTGGTTTAGTTTAGTCATTAAGTGATTTTTATTACTGTGGTTGATCTCAAAAGTTCTGATCATCTTTGGGTGTATAGTGATGATTCTGTTTTAAGACCTGAAACAGTTGAAGACTAGTCTCTGACCTGAAGACTCACTTTTGAAGAGTTGCCTCAAGTGGCCCTGTTCATCTAATCAGTTGCCAGCTTGCAATGAAATTTTTTGATGTTCCTTCTGAGACCGTGAAAAAGTCCTGTTGCTAATTGCTTGTACATATTATAAGAAAAGGACAACATGGAATCCATTTACCCATTGTAATAATTGTCACTGTAATCAGATTGGTTGATAACAGGTAGAAACTAGAACCTTTTTAGAATTTTTTTCCCCAAAGAGCTATTCATTTATTAATTTGTGTGTGTGATTGTGTTTGTGTGTGTGTGTGTGATTGTGTTTGTGTATGTATTTATTTAATCTCTATACCCATTGTGGCGCTTGAACTCACAACCTTAAGATCAAGAGTCACATGCTCTTCTGACTGAGCCAGCCAAGCATCCCTAGGATTTCCAGTTAAGAATTTCTTAATGGGTGCCTCTGTTGGTTAAACATCCAACCTTGGCTCAGGTCACGATCTCATGGTTGTGAGATTGAGCCCTGTGTCAGGCTCTGTCCTGACAGCTCAGAACCTAGAGCCTGCTTTAGATTCTGTGTTTCCCTTTCTGCCCCACCCCACTCATTCTCTGTCTCAGTCTCTCTCTCTCAAAAATAAACATTAAAAAAAAATGTCTTTAACTGTTGGGCGTCTGGTGGCTTAGTTAAGCATCCAACTTTTGATTTTGGCTCAGGATCTCACACTTGGTTAGATCTGTGTTGAGAGTGCAGAGCCTCCATGGGATTCTCTTTTTGTCCCTCCCCATCTTGGGTATGTATGCTCCCTCTCTTTTTTTCTCTTAAAATAAATAAACGTTAAAAAAAAAAACTGGTAAACACCAGTGTTACATCGTGAATTCAGATGGCCCATACGCTCTGAATGTACAGTAAAAAACCAAAACTTACTAAAAATATAGTCAGGAAAACTAAAACCAGGACAAAATAAAGACTACTTTATGATAAGAACCAAACTACCTATGATCATATAAGAACCAAACCAACCAAAATGGCATTTTATATATGTAAACTTTGATATGATTATACTAACTTAAGTATAATGGACAAATCTGTCTCAAATTTAGTGTCACCAATAATGAGATATATTGGTATTATGGGCTTCATTCTAATGTATAAATATGTTAAGGATTTGATAACCCTTCAAACAAACTGTTTTCTCTCCTTTTTTTTTGCTTGTAAATTGTGCTTTAATTTCTGCAATCAGATATGATGCAGTGAGATACAAGTATAAATTTTTATTGTACATCAAGAAAATAAAAAGCACATTTATACAGATACAACCCAACAGCTTATTCCCAAAAAAAGTTTTGAACGTAATTAAAAGTAATTTATCTTCAAACCTTGAAGATATAAACAAGCTTTCAGAAAGCTCACTAATGAGGTCACAGATGAAAAAACAACCCTAGCAGAGTAAAGCAAGTGATGTTTGTGATAGAAGAAAGGGGAGTGAGTTATCTTTCATAACTTGTTTCTTGTTTAAGAGACTTGTCAAAGACAAGAAAGCCTTGTCAAAGACACCGAGCTAGAACATAACAAATGAAAAATGGATTTAGAAAAGGTAATAATGTTTGAGGTATACTGAATTCGGCATACCTGCCATGACCACCAAGAAGTACATGTGTATACATATATTCTACATACACATGATAAACAGAAAAGAAATAGCTTAAACATTAACAACACAGTTTTCATGTAAGGACACGTTTTTCACATAAGATTTCCCGAAATAGGTAGTTCTAGGATTGATGTAGCAATTGCCCGTTGCTATTAAGGGCCAGGCTCTTTCCATCTTTCTGCCTTGCTTTCTTCAGTGTGTGGGTAATACGTTACTTCCTAATGATAGTGTGGCTGCTGCAGAGTCCAGCACCAGGTGGGCCATCCCTTCACCAGGTGAATCTCATAGTAGTATGGAAGAAGTTGGGTCAAAAGGCTTACTCTTTGAGAAACTTTCTCTTAGAAGATGAAAATCCTTCCCAGAGACTTCCAGTAGACATTCACTGTGTCTCATTGGCTAGACCAAGAAAACATTTCTACCTCTGGCTAGGTCATCACCAGCCATAAGAAATGGCATGATTGGCTTAGGATAATCATTCATCTCATGGGATGGGCATACTGCCTTCTGTTCAAAGATGGATGTCCATTAGCAAGTTAGAAGTGAGGAGCTCTATTGAGTTATTACCAGTATTATACTGGCTATTACCAGTGTTATCTGTCTCTGGACAGAGCCTAATTGACAACTGTGCTTTTCTTAAAGATAGGTTTTCTTTTGTGGAAAGGAAGCTGGATGTTGCATAGTGCTTGGATGACTGTTCAGCTGTTATAATGAGGCAGTGAGTGGATTTAGAGAGAAGAAGTCAATTCATTTTTTTTATCATTTTGAAGACGATCTTGAAACTTTTGTTGGGTAAGAAAATAAATACATGAATCAGAACAATTAGATAATGTGAGTTTTTTTTTTTTTGTTTTTTTTTTTTTTAGTCAGAATCTGGAGAAGTGAATAGAAACACGGAACTGAAGAAACTTCGAATTTTTGGGGCTGGCCCTAAGGTCGTGGGCCTAGCAATGGGAGCAAAAGATAAAGAAGGTAAAATCTGTTACTTGGTCATGAAAAGAAATAAGATAATAAAAATAATATTTGAATTGCGGTCTGCCTTGGGATTTTCTTGAGTGTAAACTTGCAATGTGGTTTTTTGGTCACCTTTTATGGCAGATTATCTTAAATTTAAGGCCTGAGGAACCATATTTTATTGAATTTTTACAATATTTGAAAGGGTGAAATTTTCCTTTTCATGTCTGATACGTGATACAGAAATTTATAGTTTCTAAGGGCTAGTTTATGAGAGAATGTGAAATAAATTCTTCTTATTACTTGGTGATCTAAAGCTATTAAGTTCAGAGACAGGGTTCCCTGACTTTTAGTATCAACACGTACTATGGGGAGGTTATGACTTACATTCTAATTCTAATTTTGTTATTTTTCCATAATTGTTATATTATGACACTTCATTGTTATATTATGACACTTCATTTAAAAAACTGTTTGAAGAAAGCCTAGTTATTCTCAGCTTAGTATGTTTGAAACTTCTTGTAAGTAAAATTTCTAATGTAAAGATCAAGTTTTGCTATTCTTTGTACGTGTCAGTTTGAAAACTCTGTTTAACAAAGACTGTGTTGGATTTGTTTTTAATATATATGAATTTAATGAAGTGCCATCATCATAAGTCATATTAGTTATTACCCATTTTGTGATATAAGTCACAATTCAGATTGTGGACGAGAAATCTGGAGGATTAGATAATACTGTCCCATCACTGTAAAGACATTCAGTGTGATAGGACCTACCAAATACATTATGATATTTATTATTACCCTTTTAAGAATTAAGCACTTTATTATCTTTTGATTCTTAATGCATTGGCTGTCAGTAATCTGAAAACTAGTCTCAAGGTAGTCCCTGATAAGTACTGCATATAGGCAGCATAGAATTAGCAGTTCAGCTCTCTTGAGCTTGATTGCCTGGAATGGATTCCCAGATCTGCCACTGACTGGCTGTATGATTTGGGGCAAGTTACTTCTCTATTCTTTAGATTCTTTGTCTTCAACGGGGATAATAGCATATCTACCTCTTAGTATTGTGAGATTTAATTTAAATAATTTTAAATAGTATCTGGTCCAGAGTAAGCTCTCAACATTAGTTTTTACTATTATTATATAACTATTTTTATTTCAAGATGAGGTCTCCCGAAGACGAAAAGTTACCAACAGGTCAGACGCATTTAACATGCAAATGAGACAACGGAAAGGAACTCTCTCTGTTAACTTTGTAAGTGTTCTGAGATATGTCAGGAGGGAAAGGATTTATTTTTAGTTTTGCACTTTTTATCTCGTTATATATTAGTATGCCATTTGGTTAGTTCGTTTGGTTAGAAGACTAGATGGTAAATTTAAAGTTACAGCTTCGTTTATGTAACGTTAACCTTGCTTTGTCCATTTACATTGACCCTTCCCCTAAGTTATCCTCACATATACCTTGTGAGTGAGAGAATTGGAATATGTAAATTCTTGAGCTGTATTTTAGACAGTGCTCAGTATTCATTCTCTACAAGGAGTGTTTGTGTATAGGAAGGATGACATGGTGTATTTTATTTATAGTAATTGACTTTCTGGCCTAGATTTGTGGTCTTTCTTTATTCCGATACCTTGATATGCTTTTATTAACTTGCCTGTAGAAGCACTGAGGAAATTGAGGAAGTTTTATGAAAACCTGTTTAAATACAATTATTTAAAAAATATTCAGGATTTAAGTTTTATGTACTTTTTAGTATACATTATTTTGTTTGTTTCAATTAAGGAGTTCCTGGTAAAAATTCAGTATTACTTATTGTAGAAAATAGACTTTTATTTTATTTTGTTTGTTTTCTAACAGGTTGATCTCTATGTTTGTATGTTTTGTGGTCGGGGAAATAATGAAGATAAATTGCTTTTGTGTGATGGATGTGATGACAGCTATCATACATTTTGTTTAATTCCCCCACTACCTGATGTGCCCAAAGGAGACTGGAGATGTCCTAAATGCGTTGCTGAGGTACAAGCCTAAGCTTTATAGATCCTTTTTAAATTAGTAACAGTAATGCACACATACACACATACAGCAAATCCAATTCCCAAAAGTGCTTGCTTTGTTCTTCGATGTTTAAAATCTCTAGGATTTTCTTTTTGAGAGAAGGAGAGGGCACCGGTGAGCAAGAGGCAGAAAGGGGATGGGGGGGAGAGAGAGAGAGAGAGAGAATTGGGGCTCATCCAGGGTTCATGTTTTACCCAAAGCAGAGCTTTTGCTCACCTGAAGCAGGGCTCGAGCTCACCTGACGTGGGACTTGAACTCATGAACTGTTAGATTATGACACCTAAGCCTAAGTTAGATGTTTAACGACTGAGCCACCTAGGTGCCCTAAAATCTCTAGGATTTTTTTTTTTTTTTAATGTTTTATTTATTTCTAGGAGAGAGAGAGAGAGAGACAGCGTGAGCAGGGGAGGGTCAGAGAGAGAGGGAGTCACAGACTGAAACAGGCTCCAGGCTCCGAGCTGGCAGTCAGCACAGGGCCCGACGCGGGGCTCGAACCCACGAACCGCGAGATCATGACCTAAGCGAAAGTCGGACGCTTAACCGACTAAGCCACCCAGGCGCCCCTCTAGGATTTTTTAAGAGCAATATTGAATGAAAATGTAGTAGTTGTATTATGGCAGCTTGCCTTTCAAAAGCTCTTTTTCTGACTATTGGTTAGATAATTCTGTTTATTGCTGTAAGTGAATGTATGATACTTTTGCTCAGAACGTTCATATCCCTGGACACCTGGCTGGCTCGGTTGGAAGAGCATGTAACTTTTTTTGTTTGTTTGTTTGTTTTAATGTTTTGTTTTTGAGAGAGAGAGAGTGTGAGCAGAGGAGGGGCCAAGAGGGGGTGACAGAGGATCCAAAGCAGGCTCTGTGCTGACAGCAGCGAGCCCAATGTGGGGCTCGAAATCATAAACCAAGAGATCATGACCTGACCCAAAGTTGGATGTTCATCCGACTGAGCCACCCAGCCAGCACCCTAGAGCATGTAATTCTTGGTCTTGGGGTCATGGGTTCAAGCCCCATGTTGTAGGGATTATTTAAATAAGTAAACTTCAAAAAAAAAAAAAAAAAACCCCAAAGTAAAAATCAGACCTGAAGCTCTAGAATTTAGGATTTATGCCTCCAATTTTCATGTTAACAGATAAACTGATAGTATTTATTAGCTATTTAAATTTTTACTTGAGTATTCTTAATTCTTATTCAAAGATTACATCGACATTATTGTTCTGAAATACCTAATCTGTTTACTTGTTTTAACAGAATGTTGTGCTAGGATGTGGAAGGGAAGAAGTTGGCTGGGTTGTATCTAGGTGTATTCAAAGCTTTGAATTATTTAATCTCATCGTTAGATGATTCAGAAGCAGTTCTTCTCTGAGAATTTGTGTTAAGATACCGGTTAGGGTGATTGGTGGTGTGAGACCACCATTCCTATAGCTGGATATTCTAGCAATCCAGTGGATATCCCTTTATCCATTATCATTCCTTCGTCTATGAACATTTATTTTCTCCATTGCTAAATCCACTGATAAACTGAGAATGATTAGCATCCCTGGGCTTGATTGCATGTCAGCAGTCCTCCAGGTGCTTGTCTTGGTCTGAGCTTAATGCCAACTCCAGAGTCTGAGGCTGTGTCATTACCACCTTCCTCCTGGAAGTCTGAAAATGCAGTTGAGGTTGTAGAACATTATTTCCCGATTCCGTATTGCAAGAAATTAATACTTGCTTTGCTGTCTAAGGTTGATTGGATTTGCTTCACCTAGGGAAATGATCAAAGAAAGTAATGCCTGAGAGACTTAATATTTTGTTCAGTTCATTTTCAGTGAGTTTATCTTAGGTATTTCTTCTTCCTAGGAGTGCAATAAACCTCGAGAGGCCTTTGGATTTGAACAAGCAGTACGAGAGTATACACTCCAAAGCTTTGGAGAGATGGCAGATAATTTTAAGTCTGATTATTTCAATATGCCAGTTCATGTGAGTATCTTTCTTTTAGGTCCGTTTGGGGAGGTCTTAAGATGTATCTGTATCCGAAGCTTTTTACTTTCATCATTTCATGGGACAGCATGAAAAAAATGATAAAAAGATCAGGGGCCTGGTATCTGTTTCTATTTTTTTCACTTGATAATGTGGCAGTGTATACTCTCCTGTTGAGAAATCTGCTTTGATCTTTGAATTGTTTATCAGTCTTCTGTGAGAAATCTTTTATAGAAAACCATGAAGTATGTAGCAGTTGCTCCTTTTTGTTTAGTTATTTGTAATATGAAGTTTGCTGTTTTCCAAGGGGATCTTGGGCTTTTTAAAAAAAATTTTTTTTAAAGTTTATTTATTTTTGAGACAGAGACAAAGCTTGAGCGGGAGAGAGGAGACACAGAATCCAAAGCAGGCTCCAAACCCATGGACTGTGAGATCATGATCTGAGCCTAAGTCGGACGCTTAACTGGCTGAGCCACCCAGGCGCCCCGGATCCTGGGCTTTTTAAAATCCTTATACAAAAAATTTGCCAAAGTTGTTAAAATTCAGCCTTGATTTTTGCATTTCCATTTTTCTTTCTTGATATCCTGGGTCATTTTTATATTTCTTAGTTAGAAAACAGTTTACAGAAAAAGGCAGTGTAAGTTTATTATGTTTTTCTGAACTTTTAGATTGTCTTTAGCTTTTCCCTATTCTCATTGGAAAAAGCTAGGACCCTGGTCTTTTCAGCTCTGGAAATAAGACTTATCATTTTATCATGGGTTTGTGTTCACGTGACCTGAATATTATGTTTTAGATTATGGTTATAGTGAGTTAGTAATCTCTAATCTTTGTTTTCCCTTTGTAGATGGTTCCTACAGAACTAGTGGAAAAAGAATTCTGGCGGCTGGTGAGCAGCATCGAAGAAGATGTTATTGTAGAGTATGGAGCTGATATCTCCTCAAAAGACTTTGGAAGTGGATTTCCTGTAAAGGATGGTCGGAGAAAGATGCTGCCAGAAGAAGAGGTGCAGAACAGACAGTAGTAATTCAGACTTAGCCCAAGCTGATTTAGTCTTTAGAAAACTGCCTTTCTCTAATTTTAAGTGAATACGTTCATTTAAAATATTCAATATGTAGTATTTGGACATTATAAATTATAATTTTAAACACAATATATTCAGGGGCTCCTGGGTGGCTCAGTCAGTTAATGCCCTCTGTCAGGGGCGTCTGACTTCGGTTCAGGTCATGATCTTACGGTTTGTGACAGCTCCAGCGTCCCGTTGGGCTCTTTGCTGACAGCTTGGAGCCTGGAGCCTGCTTCAGATTCTGTGTCTCCCTCTCCCTCTCCCCTGCTCACGCTCTGTACCTCTCTCTAAAAAAAATAAATAAACATTAAGAACAATAAAAAACAATGTATTCAAAGTACTCTTAAAAATTTAACTTTTCACTAAAAAATTTTTTTAAATGTTTATTTTTGAGAGAGAGAGAGAGCATGTGTATGAGCAGGGGAGGAGTAGAAAGAGGGAACTTTGCATTTTAAAACCATTTTAATTAGTTTAAAAATTTAACTGCATTAAAAAAATTTTTAATGTTTATTTTTGAGAGAGAGAGAGAGAGCGTGTGAATGAGCAGGGGAGGAGTAGACAGGGAACTTTGCATTTTAAAACCATTTTAATTAGTTTAAAATTTTTAGGGGCGCCTGGGTGGCTCAATCAGTTGAGTGTCTGACTTCGGTTCAAGTCATGATCTCACAGTTCATGGGTTTGAGCCCCACGTTGGGCTCTGTGCTGACAGCTAGCTCAGAGCCTGGAGCCTGCTTCAGATTCTGTGTTTCCTTCTCTCTCTGACCCTCCCCTGCTCATGCTGTCTCTCTCTTTCAGAAATAAATAAAACATTAAAAAAATTTTTTTAATTTTGATTCCAGTTAAAAAAATTGTCTCTTTGTGTTTGAGAATCTAAAAGGTGATTTAAGATTTAAAAAGAGTTACATTTCATTGATAGATCCAAAATTAAGTTTCCTTCAATTTTCCTGGGCAGGTAGGTTTTCAGATATGCTTTTAAACTGTAATAAATAATAAGGTTATGTCACAGAGGAGATGACCCTTATGTATAAAGCTGAATTAAGATGATCATTTACTTCTTTTTCTTATTACTTTGGTCCTTTTCACCCTCTATAATTGGCAGTCATTAAGAATTTTATTTTCTACTAAAAGAGTTACACATGGTAAAAAAAAAAAAAAAAAAGGTTATATAGTGCAGAAGGATATATAGTTAAAAGAATAACCACCCCAGTTCTCTTAAGGTTAGTGTTTGCAAGGTATATCTTTTAACACTCTTTTACTTTGACACTATTTGTATCTTAGAATCTAAAGTATGTCTTTTGTGGGAGGATATGATTGGATCTTGCTTTTTAAAAAAAAAAAAAAAACCTTATTTTTATTTATTTATTTTTTTATTTTTTAAAATATTTTTTTATTTATTTCTAGGAGAGAGAGAGACAGCGCGAGCAGGGGAGGGTCAGAGAGAGGGAGACAGACTCTGAAATAGGCTTCAGGCTCTGAGCTGGCAGTCAGCACAAAGCCCAACGCGGGGCTCGAATCCACGAACCGCGAGATCATGACCTAAGCGAAAGTTGGACGCTTAACCGACTAAGCCACCCAGGCGCCCCTATTTTTATTTATTTTTGAGAGAGTGTACATATGTGTGCCTGCCAGGAGGAGAGGGGCAGAGAGAGGGAGGGAGGAAGTTTCAAGCAGGCTCCATGCTATTAGCACAGAGCCCAACAGGGGGCTTGAACTTGGGAACTGTGAGATCATGACCTGAGCTGAAATCAGGAGTCGGCCACCTAACCAACTGAGCCACCCAGGTACCTTGGGATCTTGCTTTTTTATTTTTTATCTTACTTTGTTTAGTTATTTCTAATGTTTTATTTCTGAGAGAGAGACACACACACAGAGTGATCAGGGGAGGGTCAGAGAGAGGGAGACGCAGAATCCGAAACAGGCTCCAGGCTCAGAGCTAGCTGTCAGCACAGAGCCCGATGCGGGGCTCGAACCCACAAACTGTGAGATCATGACCTGAGCCAAAGTCGGACGCTTAACTGACTGAGCCACCTAGGCGCCCCATGGATCTTGCTTTTTAAAAAAATCTAATCTGAGGGTTGCCTTTTGATTGGAGTGTTTACTGCATTTGCATTTAATTTATTGACATGGATGATTTTTGTCTGTCCATTTTGTGATTTTATTTTATATGTCTCATGTTTTTTTTTTTCTGTTCCTGTCTCTTGTGGCCCTTTTTTGGTGTTAAATACATATTTTTCATAATATCATTTTATTATTTAAAAAAAATTTTTTTTTAATGTTTTATTTATTTCTAGGAGAGAGAGAGACAGCGTGAGCAGGGGAGGGTCAGAGAGAGAGGGAGTCACAGGCTCTGAAACAGCCTCCAGGCTCTGAGCTGGCAGTCAGCACAGAGCCTGACGCGGGGCTCGAACCCACGAACCGCGAGATCATGACCTAAGAGAAAGTCGGATGCTTAACCGACTAAGCCACCCAGGCGCCCCTCATAATACCATTTTAATTCCTTCAGATTTGGCATATATACTTTTTAGTTACTTAGTGGTTCTGAGAATTATAATATGCATTGTATTTATTTATGAAAGTTTATTTCTGAGAGAGAGAGTGCATGCATGTTTGCATGGAAAAGGCAGAAAGAGAGGGAAAGAGAGAATCCTAAGCAGGCTATGTGCTGTTGGTGCAGAGCCCTACGTGGGGCTCGATTTCATGAACCATGAGATCATGACTTGAGTCAAGAAGAAGGGTCAGGCACTTAATCAACTGAGCCACCCCGGTGCTCCTTTTTGCCCCTTTTTATCTTTTTAAATTGTCTTTATACAGCCTACTTTATGTTAATATTGATTTAATTCTGGTGACTATAGCAACTTTTTTCTTCATTTCCCACTGTATTGTTGTACGTTATGTCTCCATGGTAAATAAACACAGCAACACAGCAATATATTTATTACTTTAAATCATCTCACTTTTCTAAAAAAATTAAAAATACACATGTACTCTTTTACATGTTTACTCACAAATACATCATTTCTGATGCTCTTCATTTATTCCTATGGGATCCAAGTTACATTTTGGGAGTCGTTTTCTTTCAGCCTAGAAGACTGCTTTTATTTGTAGTATGGGTCTGCTAAGGAATGAATTCTTTCAGTCTTTGCTTATCTGGGAATGTTTTTATTCAGCCTTTTAGTCTTTCAATAGTAAATGCTTCTCAGTTTTTTGTCTTGTTCTGTTGTTTGCCTTTAGTTGATTTCTAGTGACCTAAAATGGTTGTTTTGATATTTTTGTCCAGATTTATCTTTGTTTTCTTGTGGAGGGGAATTGCCCAACCTCTTTATATTACCACTGCTGGAAATGCTTTACAGTTGAAAGTCTCCCTCCTACCCAGATCTCCAGTGTAACAGAGGAAGACACTATTTCATCTTCTAGCCATTCTTCAGATACAGTGTGTCTGTGCAAGCATTTATATATCACACATGCAGTATTCCATATTCTTTTTTAAACAGAAATGGAGTATACTGCTTACATGGTCTTACCCTTTTTTGTTTTTTGTTTTTGGGCCTTTAAGCCCTGTCCAATCTGTCCTAATTCATTATAGCATTACTTTCGCGGTTTGTTCATGGTATAATCTCATTGGATATTATGCCAACCAATATCTGAGCACTTACTATGTGCTGAATGAAGTTTTCATTTGCCTCATTTATTTATTTATCTGTTTACAAATAGTTTATTGTCAGGTTGGTTTCCATATAACACCCAGTGGTCATCCCCACACATTTGTTTTATTTATGATCAAAAGTAATAATCTTTCAGCTTTCTTATATTTTAGCCTTGTTTTTGTGTTTTTCCTTCTGCATAGGCAGAGTACAGGTTGGGATAATCAGGTTAGGATAATATAGACTAGAGAATACACATTGGTTTACCAAGGGAGAAAGAATGATTACAATAGATGGAGAACATAGATAATATACAGATGGTTTTATCAGTATCACTGAAATTAATCTGATTTGTTTATACCCAATTCAGTAATAGTATCCTATTATTGAATTGTTGGGAAGAGACTTGATTATATAGCTCTTGTCTTTTTCTGATTATTGTTTCTATTCTGAATTTTCAAGTTGTTCTTTAACAGATATTTATATCTTCTAATCTTAATCTTAGAAACAGGGTCACAGAGTTTTTAAAAATTATTTTAAGTGTCAAACTTAAACAATTAATACTAATAATATAAATATTCTTTTCCATGTTTGAGTTTTAAATGAATATTTATTTCTGCTTTTCCTCAATTCACCTTCATAAATGTGGAGAAATGCTGGGCTATAACCAACCATAGTGTGAAGAGACAGGTGATACAACCTTTTTCTAGACTGGATCATGGATTTGCTATTTGTTTTGTAAGCAGTAATGTTTTTTACAGGATACTTTTTTTGTGTTTAAAGATAGAATGAGAGGACTTCTTTATTACAAAAGGATTTTAAGGACTAATTAGACAATTTGTGTAAAACCTTCAGACTTTTTATACTATATCAGTTATTGTAAAGTTACTGTATTAAAATATAAAGTAGTAGATAACTACCAGCTTTTCACCAGACATTGTACATTTATGTTGAGCTTCTGTATGAATTAGCTCTTGGTATCTGATAGCATATTTCTCTGGTATCGTAGTTGACTAGAGAAGTACTTCTGAAGTTAATATATTGCCTTACAAATACTGTGTGCTCCACCAACAGGGCTTCTGAGGAATAAAAATAGGCATAGCACTTGAAACCTTGGGAACATTTTTTTCTTTGTGTCTTTCTTCTATATTAAATCATTGACTAAATCCTGTTCATTTTTCATTATTTTCTGTAGGACTGGCTTCTTTTCATACCCACTACTACTGTCTTTGTGTAGGTCCTGTCACGTCATGTTGGGATGATTGTCATAGTCTTAGACAGTGACCACTTGTGTTTGGAGTTCCCAAAGCCATTTCTAGGTTCAGTGATTTTCTGGGAGGACTCATGGTTATGATTTACCATAGTCAGAATCAACAAAGGGAAAAGATACCTGGTCCAAGTCCAGAGAGAACTAGGTAGAAGCTTCCAAGAGTCCTCCCTGATGGAGTTACACAGAACGCACTAATATAATTGATAACATGTAGGAAGTATTGCCTACCAGGAAAGCTCATTAGAGACCCAATGCTCAGAGTTTTTATTGGAGGCTGGTGACGTAGGCATCTTCTGCTTAACACATACTATAAAAATCCCAGACTCCCAGAAGGAAAACAAGTGTATATTAACCACATTGTATGGTCTAGTCATCATGAATCACTCTGTTTTTATTAGTGTAGGGAGCTGTTTGTCATGTAAGTTTCTATATATCAGCCAAGAGAACTTTAAGCACGCTTTTTGAAGAATAGCAGTCTTAGGCCTGTTACGCTAACCAGATATTCTGCTTACTGCTTGTCTCTGCAATCTTTTTTAATATATTGCTTTTACTTAAGATGTTAAGGTTGAGAGGTCTTCGCGGGTTCATTATACAGTTTTGTCTACTTTTGTTTATGTCTGAAATTTTCCATAAACGAAAGTTTAAAAATATTTAAGACACTATGTGTATATTATTTCATTTTTCAGATCTGTTTTATTTCTCATCTGAATATACAATAAAAGCCAAGCTTCTTAAGGTTAAAGGTCCATTCTTCTTTTCTAGTTTTATTTCCTATATTTCCGAGTATGACTGTATCATTCTTCCCCTCCACCAGTCAGGATGGTGTGTATTCTGTCTCTCATTCACTGTCAAATCTTATCTATTTTTCTAAGCTTTACTCAGCTTCTTTTTCTGTAAAGTTTTCTTAATGATGCAAACCCATGCTAATTACTACTGTCCTCTGAAAAACTAAAGAATTTACTCTCATATCTGTGTTTGCAGTTTAATATATATACCCTTGTCTTGAAACTTTTTGTATGTAGTTCTTTTGTCTTCAACTAGATTCATTATGTTTTCAGACAAGCAGCTGACCAACCAACAAACATATTGACTAGTATTTTTTGAAAACCTTTTTTAAAAAAGTCTTATTGAGGGTATAAACCATATTTCTTTACTATTCCTCAATGGAACTCCTACTTAAACCTATGTTGGACTTTCTTCTTTTGTCCTCTGTGACTCTTAACTACATGTTTATAGTTTCCATTTTGTTGTGCTGCATTATGGATGATATTCTCAAATCTGACTTCTAGTTGACATATTCTGTCTTCAGCTTTGTCGTTCACTGTTAAACCTCTTTGACGGTTTTAATATTTTAGCTTTGTATTATGGAAAGGACATATAATGATGAACTTCCCTCATTCCCTCGGTACCTGGCATCCACATTCAGCATTTATCGACCACCTAATAGAAGGCAGCTGGATTCACTTATCTCTTTGTGCATTCAGTCTGTTGTCAGTCTTTTGTGATGTCACATATGTATCCTCTGTAAGAATGAGATTAAAAATGCAAAATAACATCTTACAATTATTATGAAAATAGTTTGACTTTGCATAGTCCCTGAAATAGTCTTGGGTTCCCTAGACCCCACTTTGAGAACTGCTCCCCATAAGGATGATAAGTTCTTTAAGCTTTCCTTCATATGGCTTTAGGGTAGGCTTTTGAAACTCAGTGTCCAGTCCTTATATCCAGAGAAGTCTCTGAAAATTCAGACAGTAGCTTTCCTTTTTCATTCTGCCTTTCTTTCCTTTTTTTTTTTTTTTTTTTTTTTTGTTTCTGGAGACTGGAAATTCTTTTTTCTTTTGAATTCAATATCTATGAAACAAGTGTTTTTATTATTGTTATAATTTATCAGTATTTCTAGGTACATTTGTAGTGGGGGTGGTAATGGTGACTTTCTTCATCATCTTAGGCTTTGGTGTTGGCATAAATGCAAGGTTATGTATCTGAGTATTTTTTTGTCTTCACAGTGTCTAGCACCATGCTATAAATATAGTGGTAAACATTTTGGGAAGTTATACTACTGGGGATAAAATAGAAATATAATTAATACTGACCTATTAAAATGAGTCTCACATAATTTTATAGTAATGTATTTGAGGGAGGAGTAGTAAATAAATTGTTTACATGCTTCACAATAAATCAGAGGTGTCTGAAATAATTAAAGGGAAATCTAAATACCACCTAGACAGGAGATAGGATTAAATAGGTATAGGAGTTACATGTTGCAGAGAGCAAAGAGCACAGTTTCTATGGACTAGATTATTATAAGTGTTATATACAATTTTTACCTTATTTTAAAAGACTCCCTTGACATTTCTATTGGGCACTTGTCATTTCTGATCTTTCATTTACATCTTTTTTTTCTTTATAGGAATATGCGCTTTCTGGTTGGAATTTGAATAATATGCCTGTCCTAGAGCAGTCTGTTCTTGCACACATTAATGTAGACATCTCTGGGATGAAGGTGCCATGGCTCTATGTGGGAATGTGTTTTTCTTCTTTCTGCTGGCACATTGAAGATCACTGGAGTTATTCCATCAACTATTTACACTGGTATATATGATCTTTGTTAACATGCTTAGTAATGTTTTTAAAGGTGTAATAGTCTTAGGTGATATATTAGTAAGAGCTGAATTTAAAAGTATTTGCTACCCAACGTAGGATAACATATTGAGAAGTGTAGAGGTCTAAGGGTATATACATCTCAGACACCTTCCCTTTTAAAATCTATGCATGCAGGGGCGCCTGGGTGGCTTAGTCGGTTAAGCGTCCGACTTTCGCTCGGGTCAGGATCTCGCGGTTCGTGGGTTCGAGCCCCGTGTCGGGCTCTGTGCTGACTGCCAGCTCAGAGCCTGGAGCCTGTTTCAGAGTCTGTGACTCCCTCTCTCTCTGACCCTCCCCTGCTCACACTGTCTCTCTCACTCTCCTAGAAATAAATAAAACATTTAAAAAAATTAAAAAAAAAAAAATCTATGCATGCAGCAGAGCCTAGAGTTTTATTTTTTTATTTTTTATTTTATAACTATTTACTTTTGAGAGAGAGAGTGCGTGCATGAGCAGGGGAGGGGCAGAGAAAGGGAGAGAGAGAATCCCAAGCAGGCTCCCCACTGTTAGCGCAGAGCCTGATGTGGGGCTTGAATTCACCAACTGTGAGATCATGACGTGAGCCTAAGTAGGATGTTTAACCAGATGAACTACCCAGGTGCCCCCAGGGCCTAGAGTTTTAGACCAAAAGATACTTATTTGGTGTACATGAAAATAACTTGATATATCTTTTGATATGCAAGGTAGAGTATTTAAAGTATATGTAATTAAGATTTGACTAAACCTTCAGTATTGGAAATTATCAAATGACTTTTTTCTTTTTAATAACATTTCCCTAAAAATGCCTGTTACATGTGTATTAATTAATTCGTTGGCTGAATTTTTTTGTATCTCCCCCATAGCTTTTATTTACTTGCCCAGTTCCTTTCCATTATTATGATATCAACTAAACGATGTTTTTCTCTCCATTTGGAATATACTATTCAAATCACACTTTGCAGTAGAAAACTATATAGTGATTCTTTATCCTCTGCTTTATCATAGTACTGTGTAATATGATAACTGCTAGTTAAATGTGGCTATTTGAATTAGTTAAGATTAAGTACAATTAAAAATGTACTTCCTCAGTTAGAGGAAACATATTTCAGGTGCTTCATGGTCATCAATGACTAGGGTTCTATGTATTGGTTAGCACAGATATAGAACATTCTTATTATTGTAGTACTGTTAGAGACAGCACTGTGGATTGTATTAGGATTAGGAAGTTCAGCTACTTTATAAATATACTATGACCCATTAAATCCCTTTCCTAGGAGTACAATTAAACTAAAGTCCACTAAAGTCTGGTGCATTAGTGATGCCAGTTTGATTCTTAGATCTGTAGATGGAATTCTTCAAGGTTTCAACAGTTTCTAGTCTTGCCTTATTTTGTTGGATAGTAAATCAACTTAATGAAGTTATGTAAAAGTATTCTAGAGAGTCAAAGTCTAGACTTTGACTTTGGTCATTATGGGAGTAATTTTAATGTCCAGTGGACTTGTAATCAAGGTAACATGTTAGTATCCTTTGTAATGATGCTTGTTTTTCATATAGGGTCTTTCCTATTTGAAATACTATTCATTGATCCACCTTAAAGAGTTCGTGTGCTTTGAGTTGCTTTTCTAATAGTAGTGATAAGTATGTATCTACCTATTTGTATACTCTGGCTTTACCTCCTATTATGAAAAATAGCACAGATTTATGAGTTGTTTTGCCAGGATGCAGGGCATATAATCTATGTCATGGAGCAAAACAAAATTAATTATAAATTAGTGGATTCACATGAGAGACCCTGGCCTCCCTGGTACCATGGTCACCTGGCTGAACAGTTACTTCTTTTGCTAGGGGGGAGCCAAAGACATGGTATGGTGTGCCCTCTCATGCTGCAGAACAACTGGAAGAGGTGATGAGGGAGCTGGCCCCTGAGCTATTTGAATCCCAGCCTGATCTCCTGCATCAGTTAGTCACCATCATGAATCCCAATGTACTGATGGAGCATGGTGTGCCTGTGAGTCTTTTTTGGTCTCCTTTTAGTAGTCTTACTTTAAAGTTATGTTTGCTTTTTATGAGACGGAATCACAACATATCCTTTGTTTTGTAACTGGAAGCAAAAGATCACGTTATCTTCTAGCCAAATTAGAGTTTATATTCTGAAGGGAAGGACATTTCTTTGGTTAAGAAAGAGGTATTTTAAAGTAATAATCATACTTTGTAACTACCTATTAAAATACTCTTCTGTTTTCAGTAAGCCATTATGTCCTGGTCTTAACAAAAATCTTGTATTCTTTATTATCCTTATTTAGTCAAAGTATAAGTGTTTTAAGTGATAGTTGTAATAACTAATGCTTATCCTTTGGAGATCATTTTTCATATAAAGATTTCACAGCCTTTTATTATATGCAATAATGAAATATACTATGGATACTTTTTTATTTTTCAACTTAATTTTGACAGTGATTTTTATTTTTTTTTTTTATTTTTATTTTTTTTAAATATTTTTATTTATTTCTAGGAGAGAGAGAGAGACAGCGTGAGCAGGGGAGGGTCAGAGAGAGAGGGAGTCACAGACTCTGAAGCAGGCTCCAGGCTCTGAGCTGGCAGTCAGCACAGAGCCCGACGCGGGGCCCGAACCCACGAACCGCGAGATCATGACCTAAGTGAAAGTCGGACGCTTAACCGACTAAGCCACCCAGGCGCCCCTTGACAGTGATTTTTAAATTTAAGCCACTACTATCTGATAGTATAGATTTAATAAGTTTGCTGTATACATTCAAATATTCATCATACCCTTAATGAGAAAGTAGTTTGAGTAGTTTTAGTTTGTCTTTAAAGAGTGAATTTATACTAGAATCTGGGACTTTTTTTTTTTATTTTTGAGAGAGAGAGAGACGGGTACAAGCTGGGGAGGGGCAGAGAAAAGAGGGAGACATAGAATCTGAAGCAGCTCCAGGCTCTGAGCTCTCAGTACACAGCCCGATGTGGAGCTCAAACTGTGAGCTGTGAGATCATGACTTGAGCCAAGGTCAGGCACTCAGCTGACTGAGCCACCCGTCAGACGTTCAACTGACTGAGCCACCCAGGCACCCCAAATCTGGGACTTTTCTAAAGACATAGTATTATCATAAAACTAAGTGAGATTCAGGAAAACTGATTTTGGGGGTATTTCCATATACATATGAACTAATCAGTTAATTTCCAAAAAATTATCTAAGAATAGGAGGAAGTTCCATCCTTTACCATTATTGACAACACAAGGATAAAAGGAATAAAAGAAAAATTCTCTTAATTGAAAAACTGTTATCAAATTTCAGAAACTAGTAGTTCAGTGAGAGTAACATTTTTTTCTTTGAAAATTTCTTTGATACTTTCTCGTTACGAATTATTATAGTTTGTTTCAGGGACTATGTTAAGAAGGTAGGGTTCTGGCTGCTGCTTTAAAAAAATTTTAATGTTTATTTGTGAGAGAGAAAGAGAAAGAGACACAGAGCATGGGCAGGGGAGGGGCAGAGAGAGAGAGAAGGAGACAGAATCTGAAGCAGGCTCGAGGCTCTGAGCTGTCAGCACAGAGCCCGATGTGGGGCTTGACCCCCTGAACTGTGAGATCATGACCTCAGCTGAAGTCGGATGCTTAACCGACTCAGTCACTCAGGTGCCCCTCGGGCTGCTTTTTAAACCGTGATATTGTCTTCTGATGTGTGTAAATGAATGCTTTACTGTTTTTGAATTTTAGAAAGTGCTTCTGAAAGTGACTGATAAAATCTGTTCCCCTTTTTTCTTTTTCTTTTGTTTTGTTTTGTATCCCTGTTCCCACTTTGCATTTAGGTGTACAGGACCAATCAGTGTGCTGGCGAGTTTGTTGTGACGTTTCCTCGTGCCTATCATTCTGGATTTAACCAGGGCTACAACTTTGCTGAAGCTGTGAACTTCTGTACTGCTGACTGGGTCTGTTGTATAGCAAGTAGCTGTTGTACGTCTACTAACACCCCTGGAAAGTGCATCTTAGTTGCCATATTTGCTTGTCTGGGGAGGGGAGGATTCATGAATATTTCAGTAGAGACTCGAGTGACTGTTGTAATTTAGAAAGTTCAGTTACAGTTTCTGTTACAGTTATTATTTGGAAGATTTTATAGTTCTTTACTTATTATCCGTTCATTATTTTCCCCATTCTGTTTGAATTTTAAATGAACAATTGATATTTTTTGAATCTTTCTTTTCTGAGAGAATATGGTTCTTCTAGTCTTTGCTTTCTCTGAGCAACTTAGGATTTTATAATGACAACCAGAATTTTTTTTTAACCAGATTTTTAAAAAAATGTTTATTTTAGAGGCAGACAGTGCATGTGCACTCGAGAGCCAGGGAGGGGCAGAGAGAGAGAGAGAGAGAGAGACAGAGGATCCTAAGCGGGCTCCATGTTGATAGCAGAGAGCCCAATGTGGGGATTGAACTCATGAAATGCAAGATCATGACCTGAGCTGGAGTCGGAGGCTTAACCGTCTGAGCCACCCAGGTGCCCCTACAACCTGATATTTTTAAGAATTAATTTTACCAGGGCGCCTGGATGGCTCAGTCGGTTAACCGTCCAACTTTGGCTCAGCTCGTGGTGTTGCAGTCCGTGAGTTCGAGCCCTGCATCAGGCTCTGTGCTGACAGCTCAGAGCCTAGAGCCTTCTTCAGATTCTGTATCTCCCTCTCTCTGCCCCTCCCCCGTTTGCACTCTGTTTCTCTTTCTCAGAAGTAAATAAACATTAAAAAAATTAAAAATAAAAGAATTTTACCCATATTTGCAAGTGTTTAGCTCAGATTTTTAAAATATCCCTTTATTATTTTCCTTTTTTTTTTTTTTTTTTTTTTAAATTTTATATTTTTATTTATTTCTAGGAGAGAGAGAGAGAGAGAGAGAGAGAGAGACAGCATGAGCAGGGGAGGGGCACAGAGGGAGGGAGACACAGACTGAAATAGGCTCCAGGCTCTGAGCCGGCAGTCAGCACAGAGCCCGACGCGGGGCTCGAACCCACGAACCGCGAGATCATGACCTGAGCGAAAGTCGGACGCTTAACCGACTAAGCCACCCAGGCGCCCCTAAACAAGCTTTTTTTGTAAAAATTTTTTTAAAAGACTTCGTGTTCAGTAAAGGAAGACTAAGCACATTTCTGTTCAACAAGCCAGAGCCTGGAGGTACAGAACTACGTGGAGGTAGAGTCTCCAAATGAATTTCTTTTTTATTGTGGTGAGAGGGACCTAAGGTAAAATTTACCATCTCAACTATCTTTTACCGTACAGTTCAGTGGCATTAAGTACATTCATGTCGTTGTTCAGCCATGCCCACCACCCAGCCCCAGGACTTCCGTATCTTCCTAAGGTGACACTCTGTCCCGGGGACACAAGCCCCGACTTCCCCTCCCCCAGGGCCTGGAAACCGTCGTTCTACCTTCTGGCTCTGTCTTTGAAGACTCTACCAGTAGAGCAGAGGCTTACTCGAATAAGTGGGGTCCCACCATACTTCCCCTTTCGTGACCGGCTTATGTCACTTCGCCCCGTGTCCTCAGGGTTCATCCACGTGGTGACCTGCGTCCTTAAGACTCCATCTGAATTCTTATTTCTTCACATTACAGCTACAACACTAAACATCCGTCCTGGCTTTGCAAGCAGATGCGCTGATCAGGGCAACCCAAAGTCACGGGCTGCCCAAGGGGGAGGGCCCGGTGCAATGTGTCCCCGCCGCCGGCTCCCAGGCCCGAGTCTCTGGAGGCCGCCTTTGCAATGACGGCCGGTTGGACAAGGAGCTCAGAGTTCTCTCTATTGACCGAGGCTGAGAAGTAGCAGAGCATTTAGTTTTCTTTGCCAAAGAGAATCTAAATTGTGCTGAATCAGAGCAACTTTGAACGTTGTTTGCTTTTAGATATTTGACTTTATCCGCAGGCTCTGAGATAATCAGCCTGTGTTCTGGAGTGTGTTTCTGAGAAATAGATACAAATGAGTTTCCATAAACAACGCATCTTAGGACTTTCCGATCTAGGACACACCAATTAATATAAATCCTGGCTTGTACTGCGTTATATAAATCTTTATAAAAAGTGTGCACTAATTGGTGCAAGGAAATCTTTAGTCTATAGGAAAATGGCGATCTGTAAAATATTTAATAATGCCTTATTCTCATATTTTAATATTCTACCAGTTTTTCATATAATATTTTCTAAGTACAGAAATTTTTATCACCTCTTCCTGTCATAAATCTATCAAACTGAAGTCAAAGCAATAACTGCTAGTGCATCTAGAAGCATCTAGAAAACAATCCAACCAGAAAATACTGCTTTCTTACACTGTATTACCATAAAGAAAGTAGTTGGATNCCAGTGTACAGGATACAAGTCAGGGGAGATGGAAAGAGAGAGAGAAAAGGAGAGAAGGGTGAAATCGGGGGAGCTTGTGTGTTTGTGTATATAGGCATACCTTATTTTATCACACTTCACTTTATTGTACTCCACACATACTGCATACTCGCTCTATCTCTCTCTCTCTAAATAAACTTAAAAGCAGAGCTCAAACGAAAGGAAGAGTCCTAAACTCTAACTTGCTCATACTGCTTCCTAAGCCTAATAATTTTTAAAATTACTAGATCAGATAAGATTACTCATCATGTCATTCATTAACCAAGGAAACAAAAATGATTAATCATAAAATTTAATAAAGGTGCCTACAGAAAACAGGAAAATAAAAATCAAAACCACACTGAGATACCACCTCATGCCAGTCAGAGTGACTAAAATGAACAAATCAGGAGACTACAGATGCTGGTGAGGATATGGAGAAACGAGAACCCTCCTACACTGTTGGTAGCAATGCAAACTGCTTATGATTTACTTGCTTTTTGGCTAGATGTAGTATAGGAAATAGAATTCAGAAACAAATTGGAAACGGTTTTTGCCTTTAATATTCTCAACTGTTACTGATGTTTGGCCTTGAGCAGCTCTTTTAATTTTACTGGGCCTAAGTGTTTTTACCTAAGATGCTAAGATTTGCTTAATAACTTTAAATAAGCGAGATGATATATGTAAAAGTCCTTTAAACTCTTTAGAAGAAGGATGTGATAGAAATGAAAAAGATTTTTTTAAATTGTCAAGTTAGCTAACATACAGTGTAGTCCTGGCTTCAGGAATAAATTTCCGTGATTCATCACTTACATACAACACTCAGTGCTCATCCCAACAAATGCCCTCCTCAGTGCCCATCACTGATTTTCCCCACCCCCATCAACCCTTAGTTTGTTTTCTGTATTTAAGTCTCTTATGGTTTGCTGCTTTCTTCTTTGTATCTTATTTTTCCTTCCCTTCCCCTATGGTCATCTGTTAAGTTTCTCAAATTCCACATATGAATGAAATCATATGATCTGTCTTTCTCTGACTTATTTTGCTGAGCATAATACCCTCCAGTTCCATCCATGTTGTTGCAAATGTCAAGATTTCATTCTTTATTGTTGCGAAGTAGTATTCCATTGTGTATGTATACCACATCTTCTTTATCCATTTATCATCTGATGGATATTTGGGCTCTTTCCATACTTTGGCTATTGTTGATAGTGCTGCTATGAACATTGGGGTACATGTGCTTCTTTGAATCAGCACTCCTGTATCCTTTGAAAAAATTCCTAGTAGTGCCCTTGCTGGGTTGTAACTCTATTTTTAAATTTTTTAAGGACCTTCACACTGTTTTCCAGAGTGGCTGCACCAGTTTTGCATTGCTACCAACAGTGTAGGAGGGTTCTCGTTTCTCCATATCCTCACCAGCATCTGTAGTCTCCTGATTTGTTCATTTTAGCCACTCTGACTGGCATGAGGTGGTATCTCAGTGTGGTTTTGATTTGTATTTCCCTGATGATGAGTGACGCTGGGCATCGTTTCATGTGTCTGTTTGCCATCTGGATGTCCTCTTTGGAAAAGTGTGTATTCATGTCTTCTGCCAATAGAAATGAAATGTTTTAGCAGCTTTAGATTTGGAATAAAATGGTATTAAGTTTTATAAGCCACAATGGATAATCAGTTCTATTTTATGTGGTTTCTTTACAGATTGTAATAATTAGGATCTGCATATCTTCTTGCCATTGTTAATAAGTTGTATCAGAAATGTTCAAAAAGTAAATATTTATGAATTAAGAAATGAAAGAGATATATTGTTAATAGACAAGATAACTGCTAGTCATAAGTTCAGTATAATTATTTTCTTGGGAAAGATGGTTTCTTTTTTTTTTTTAATAATTTTTTTTTTTATATTTTTATTTCTAGGAGAGAGAGAGAGAGACAGCGTGAGCAGGGGAGGGTCAGAGAGAGAGGGAGTCTCAGACTGAAACAGGCTCCAGGCTCCGAGCTGGCAGTCAGCACAGAGCCCGACGGGGGGCTCGAACCCACGAACCATGAGATCATGACCTGAGCAAAAGTCGGACGCTTAACCGACTAAGCCACCCAGGCGCCCCAAAGATGGTTTCTTTAAAAGAGTATGGAAATATTGCTTGATTCAGAGATAGTCTCAAATTCTCAACCTGTGACTCCTTTTTTTTAAAAACATTTTTAACATTTATTTATTACTGAGAAACAGAGACAGAGTACGAACAGGAGAGGGGCAGAGAGAAGGGGAGAGACAGAATCCGAAGCAGGCTCCAGGCTCTAGGCTCTGAGCTGTAAGCACAGAGCCTGACGCAGGGCTTGAACCTACAAACTGTGAGATCATGACCTGAGCTGAAGTCGGACACCTAACCGACTGATCCACCCTGGCGCCCCTTGAACTGTGATTCCTGTGATTGTCTTCTACCTTTCTTAAAATGGAGGCGATTTCTAAAAGGTTCTTAAAGGTCCATTTTTAAATGTTTTCTCCTTTATATCTTAGTTTTCAAATATAAACTAAAACTGTATTTAAATCACCCAAGTTTTTCCAGTGTACAGGATACAAGTCAGGGGAGATGGAAAGAGAGAGAGAAAAGGAGAGAAGGGTGAAATCGGGGGAGCTTGTGTGTTTGTGTATATAGGCATACCTTATTTTATCACACTTCACTTTATTGTACTCCACACATACTGCATTTTTTTTTTTTTTTTTTTACAAATTGAGGGCTTGTGGCAACCCTGTGTCAAGCAAGTCTCTTGGTGTCATTTTTCCAAATATGACAGTAGTATATTTAGTGTGCAATAGCATTATGTCTAAATGCTATTGTCTAAATGCTAAAAAAAGAAACCCAACTTTTAAAAAAATTTTTTTTAAATGTTTTTAGGGGCGCCTGGGTGGCTCAGTTGGTTAAGCGTCCCGATTTCAGCTCAGGTCATGATCTCACGGTTCATGGGTTCGAGCCCCACATCGGGAGCCTGCTTCAGATTCTGTGTTTCCTTCTCTCTCTGACCCTCCCCTGCTCATGCTGTCTCTATCTCTCTCTCAAAAATAAATAAAATATAAAAAAAATGTTTTTAATTTATTTCTGAGAGAGAGAGACAGCATGAGCAGGGGGAAGGTCAGAGAGAGAGGGAGATATAGAATCTGAAGCAGGCTGCAGGCTCTGAGCTAGCTGTCAGCACAGAGCCCGATGCGGGGCTCAAACCCACAAACCGTGAGATCATGACCTGAGCTGAAGCTGGACGCTTAACTGACCGAGCCACCCAGGCGCCCCAAACCTAACTTTTATATGCACTGGAAAACCAAAAACTGCACCTGACTCACTTTATTATGGTATTTATGTATTTATCTCGGTGGTCAGGGACCCACAGTGCCTCCAAGGAATGCCTGTATAGTGTAACTGGTATCTCAGTTTGGCTTAGAGCTTGATGGTTAAAGGAATTTTCAGTATGTATCTTAAAGAAGGTATCTGATGATTTATGAAAACTGATCATTTCACTTAGGGGGAATAACAATCTCACGACTTTGCTTTGAATTCTCTTTAGGTCAGACTGCTTTTATTTCTTTATTTTTAAGTTATTTATTTGTTAAAAAGATTTTTTTAAATGTTTATTTTTGAGAGAGAGAGAGAGCGAGAGCGTGAGCGGGGAGGAGCAGAGAGAGATGAATAATCCGAAGAAGGCTTCAGGCTCTGAGCTGTCAGCACAAAGCTCAATGCAGGGCTTGAACTCATGAGCCCATGAAATCATGACCTGAGCTGAAGTCAGACACTTAATGAGTCACCCAGGCACCCCTAAGTTGTTTATTTTGAGAAAGAGAGAGAGGGAGAGAGAGAATCCCAAGCAGGCTCCATGCTGTCAACACAGCCTGACCTGGGGCTTGATCCCACAAACTGTGAGATCATGACTTAGCTGAAATCAGGAGTCGGACACTTTTAGCCACTCAGGCACCCTAGACTGACTGTTTTTAAAATAATTTTTAGATGATAAAATGTAAATCATCTTTTCTTTGATTCTTACAAAAAATTAAGTCAGTCAGTGTGAATTGCTAAAGTAGTGCTTTTTTCCTCCCCCCCCCTTTTTTTTTTTTACAAATAGTTTATTGTCAAATTAGTTTCCACATAACACTCAGTGCTCATCCCCACAAGTGTCCTCCTCCATGCCCATCCCCCCTCCCCCCCACATCCATCAGTCCTCAGTTTTTGTCAGCATTCAAAAGTCTCTCATGGTTTGACTCTCTCCCTTTCCCCCACCATTTCAACCCTTCTTCTCCCCCTTGATCCTCCGTCAGGTTCCTCCTAATCCTCCTATACGTGCAAACATATGATATTTGTCCTTCTCTGCCTTCTTTTTTCTAAAACTTCTAATACCACCGCTGTTTTTGTTCTTTGGAAACTTCTGTGCTGAATATGTCCACTTAACCTTTTATAATCTGAATGTTTTTTCTTTTTTCTTTAAAGGCAATTTATGTTAGACCAATCTAAAAGAGTTTGCTACTTCATTTAAATATCAGGAAACTTGTACTTCTGGTACATAATGAGTAAAAAGTCAATAGCTTAGGGTAGAGGCTTAGCATCTCATAGTATGGAAATTTTCTATGGGAAGGCCTTTGAAATTCCTGCTGGTCCAGAAAGATTTAATATTTATAGTTACCTCTTATTTTCAAATGGAGTTGGGTATTCTGCCTTCTTTATAATAAAAGAGAGGATCTATAGGCTAAATAGTGGTTTTGTTCTGGAATATGTCATAAGCAAGTAAGTTAATTTGAGAATCTTGTCTTATTAATAGTTGCCCATTGGACGTCAGTGTGTCAATCATTACCGACGGCTAAGGCGCCATTGTGTCTTTTCACATGAAGAACTCATTTTCAAGATGGCAGCAGATCCAGAATGCTTAGACGTGGGCCTGGCTGCCATGGTGTGCAAAGAATTGACTCTCATGACCGAAGAAGAGACAAGATTAAGGGAGTCTGTTGTACAAATGGTGAGTTTGCTTGGCACATTTCCTGTATTTGATACTGCTCATGGAATATACTAAAAATGGAACATGTAGAAAGAATCCATTTTCATTTTTGATTCCTTAAGAAATTAAACACAAAAATCACAAGTTTGGAGAAGGTATGTTTTTACTTGCCACTTTGGGTTCTTCAAACTGAAAAGTTTTAGGAATCTTTAAAAAAATGTTTTTTTAATGTTTATTTTTGAGAGACAGAGCATGAGTGGGGGAGGGGCAGAGAGAGAGAAGAGGGAGACACAGAACCCCAGGCAGACTCCAGGCTCTGAGCCGTCAGCACAGAGCCTGATGCGAGGCTTGAATTTACGAACCACAAGATCATGACCTGAGCTGAAGTTGGACGCTCAATCGACTGAGCCACCCAGGCGCCCCATGGAATGTTTATGTCATTTCTAGATTTAAAAAAATAGTATCCTATCAGGTAGAATTTCTTTAAAAAAGAGTTTTCTACATGTAGTATTATTTCTTAAATAATAAAGTTCACATCCTTTTTTTTTTCCTCTGGGCTTTGAAATTGAATAAAAGTTGTGTTTCTGGTGATTCCAACTGTCAGAGTGAATTGATTTGTTTTATTTTTTCCCCTCTTTCTAAGCATCTTAATGAGTAGGAAGTACTGAATAACCAAATGCTGGGATTTTTTTTTTCCTGGTTTGGAAGCCAGTTGAATTTTTTTTTCTTTAATGTGTATTTTTGAGAGAGAGAGAGAGAGAGAGAGCCAGAGCATAAGTGGGGAAGGAGCAGAGAGGGAGACACAGAAAATGAAGCAGGCTCCAGGCTCTGAGCGAGCGTGACACAGGGCTTGAACTCATGAACTGTGAGATAATGACCTGAGCCGAAGTAGGACACTTAACTTGACTGAGCCACCCAGGTGCCTCGCCAGTTGAATTTTTGATGGAGTTTCCTTATAATGGTGGTGGCTGGGCAGAGGGTGGCCAGACCACCCCCCCAGCAAGCGTTAGGATTTTGAATGCTTAGAATAAATTGAACCTTTTGTTTTTTGATGTTTGTTTATTTTTGAGAGAGTGGGAGCAGGGAAGGGGCAGAGACCGAGGGAGAGAGAAAATCCTAATCCTAATCCTAACCCTAATCTGGGCTGTCAACACAGAGCCCAAAACGAGATTTGAACTCCTGAACCATGATATTGTGACCTGAGCCAAAATCAAGAGTCAGATACTTAACTGAGTGAGCCACCCAGTCATCCCATACCTTTTTTTGAAAATTTAATTTGATTTTTTAGTTCCTTTATTTATTTTGAGAGAGAGCAAGTGGGGAAGGGGCAGAGAGAAAGGAAGTGAGAGAGAAACTCAAGCAGCCTCTGCACTGTCAGCACAGAGCCCAGTGTGGGGCTTGAACTTAGGAACCATGAGCTCATTACCTAAGCTAAAGTCAGATGCTTAGTAGACTGAGCAACCCAGGTGCCTCTATTTTTTAAAAATTCAGCTAACATTTTAATTTGAAATTAAAAACAAAATTACCATTGGGGCACCTGGGTGACTCAGTTGGTGAGGCCTCCGACCATTAATTTTGGCTCAGGTCATGACATAGCGGTTCATGGGATGAAGGCCCGCACCTGGCTTTGCGCTGACAGGATTCTCTGTCTTTCTCTGTCCTTCCCCTGCTCACATGTGCTCACATGCATGCTCTCTGTCAAAATAAATAAACATTTAAAAAATTATTTTTAAAATTAACCACTTACATTAGCATCTTCCAAAAACAAAATACTTAGAGGTTTCTTTCTTTCTTTTTTTTTTTTTTTTTAAGTATTTGTTATTTCTGAGAGAGAGACTGAGTGTGAGCCAGGGAGGGGTAGAGAGAGAGGGAGACACAGAATTTGTGGGCTCCAGGCTCTGAGCTGTCAGCATTAGAGCATGACATGGGGCTTGAACTCATGAGCCACAAGATCATGACTTGAGCTGAAGTTAGACACTTAACTGACTGAGCCACCTATGAGCCCCAGTTTATTTCTTTTTTTTAAGTTTTTTTTATTTTGAGAGAGAGTCAGTGTAAGTAGGGGAGGGGCAGAAAGAGAGGGAGAAACAGAGAATCCCCAGAGAGCTCCCAGTGGAGAGCCCGAAGCTGGGCTTGAATTCATGAAACTCAGAGATCATGACCTGAGCTGAAACCAAGAGCCAGACACTTAACCAGCTGAGCCACATAGGCACCCCAAACTACTTAGGTTTCTAACAAAACATGTACAGGGAGGAAAACTACAAAACTCTGATGAACAAAATCAAAGAAAGATTTAGTAAATGCAGAGGTATTCCATGTTTATGGATAGGAAGACTCAGTTTTGTCAAGATGTCAGTTCTTCCCCACTTAATCTATAAATACAGTACAATCCCAATCAAAATCCCAACAAGTTATTTTATGGATAATGCCAAATTGATTCTAAAATTTTTCTGGAGAGATAAAAGACTCATAATAGCCAAATCAATATTGCAGAAGAACAAACTCAGAAGACTAACACTACCTGATTTCAAGACTGACTATAAATTGTACACCTGAAACTAAAGTACACTGTGTGTCAGCTATACTTATAAAACATAAATAAAAATGTTAAACACTTACTGTAAAGCTAGAGTAGTAATAAAGATTGTGTGGTATTTACAAAAGAATAGAAAAATCAACCAATGGAACACAACAGAGAACCCAGAAACAGATTCACATAAATACGGTCAACTCACCTTTCCCAAAGAATAATGGAATTCCTTTCCCCTTGCCTGGTGTCTAGCTTTTGAAGTTTCACAGATACTGATTTTTACAGATTGAAAGTCTATGGCAGCCTTGCATTGAGCAAGTTTATTGGCCCTATTTTTCTAACAGCATTTGCTCATTTCATGTCTCTCTGTGACATGGTAATTTTCATAATATTTCAGACTTTTTTCATTTGATTTTATTCCATTTTTTAAATTATGGTAAAATTAATATACAGTATTACATTAGTTTTAGATGTACAATATAGTGATTCAGAAATTCTGTGCATTAGTCAGGGCTCATCATAAATGTACTCTTAATCCCCTACACTTGTTTCACTGATCCCCCACTCACCTCTCCTCTATAACCAACAGTTTATTCTTTAAATTTAATAGAGACTGAGGCATCTAGCTGGCTCAGTGGATGACTTTTGAACTCAGGATCATGAGTTTCAGCCCCATATTGGGTGTAGAGCTTACTTAAAAAAAGAAAATGTAATTCCCTTACTAGAGTCTGGATTTTTTTTTCTTTATTTTCTTTGTTTTTTCAGTTCCACATATGAATGAAATCAGATGGTATTTATCTTTTTCTGACTGATTTATTTCACTAGCATTATATTCTCTAGATCCATCCATGTTGTTGCAAATGGTAGTTTTTCTTTATTTTTAATGGCTGAATAATATTCCATTGTGTGTGTATACCACATCTTTATCCATAATTTGGCTATTATAAATAATGCTGTAATAAATGTAATGGTGCATATATATCTTTTCAAATTAGTGTTTTTTCGTATTCTTTGGGTAAATACCCAGTAGTGCAATTGCTGGATCACATGGTAATTCTATCTTTAATTTTTTGAGGAATTTCCATACTGTTTTCCACAGTGGCTGCACAGTGGCTACACTGTTCTTACCAATAGTGCTTGAGGGTTCCTTTTTCTCCACATCCATGCCAATGCTTCTATTTTAGCCATTCTGACAGACATGAGACGATATAGCTCATTGTGGTTTTGATTTACATTTCTATGATGAAGTGATGCTAAGCATCTTGTCATGTGTCTGTTAGCAGTCATGTATGTCTTTGGAGAAATGTCTGTTAATGTCTTCTGCCCATTTTTTTTGGTTATTTTTATGTATTTATTTATTTTTTGTGTTTTAGAGAGAGGGACAGAGGGAGAGAATCTTAAACAGGCTTCCATGCTCAGGGTGGAGCTTGATGCAGGGCTTGATCCCACAACCATGGGATCATGACCTGAGTTGAGATCAAGAGTCAGATGCTGAGCCGTCCAGACGCCCCTTCTGTCCATATTTTAATTGGTCAAAAATTTTTTTTATTATTCTTATATTTCTTTTAGTCATTTTGATGAGTGATCTTTGATGTTACTGTTGTAAGTGTTCTGGGGTACTACGACCTGTGCCCCTATAATGGTAAATTTAATCGATAAATGTTGTATATGTTCAGCCTCCTCTGCAACTGGCTGTGTCTCCGTTTCTCTTTATTCTTTGAGATACAACGATATTGAAATTAAGCCAAGTAATAGCCATGTTATAGTGGCCTTTTAAGTGCTCAAATGGAAAGAAGAATACACATCTCTCACTTTGGATCAGAAGCTAGAAATTATTAAGCTTAGTGAGGAAGGCATGTGGAAATCCTGCATAGGTCAGAAGCGAGGCTTCTTGTGCCAGTTTGCCAGGAAGTGAATACAAAGGAAAAGTTCTTGAAGCAAATTAAGAGTTCTGTTCTACTGAACACATGAACAGTAAGAAAGCAAAATAGCTTTTTGCTGTTATGGTGAATGTTTTAGTCATCTGGATAGAAGATGGAATCAGCCACATTTCCTTATGCCAAGGCCTAATCCAGAGCAGCGCCCTAACTCGTAAGTTTTATGTATGCTAAGAGCCATGAGGAAGCTGCAGAAGTTTGAAGCTAGCAGATGTTGGTTTGTGATGTTTGAGGAAAGAAATCTCCATACCACAAAAATAGAAGGTGAAGCAGCAAGTGCTGATGTAGAGCTACAGCAAGTTATCCAGAATATCTAGCCAAGGTCATCAGTGAAGGTGGCTACACTAAGTATAGATTTTCTTTTTTCTTATTCCTTTCATAGTTTGTCACCACATTGGTTACCATATAACACCCAGTGCTCGTCCCAACAAGTGCCCTCCTCCATGCCCATCACCCCTCTTCACCTCTCCCCCACTCGTAAGTATAGATTTTCAGTGTAGACAAAACTGCCTTCTATTGGAAGAAGATGCCATCTAAGACTTTCATGGCTAGAGAGAAGTCAAAGGCTGGCTTCAAAGATTCAGAGGACAGGCTGACTGTTAGGGGCTAATACAGCAGATGACTTTAAGTTGAAGCCATTGCTCATTTACTAATCCTAAAATATCGGGGTCCTTAAGAATTGTGCTAGGGGCATCTGGGTGACTCAGTCAGTTAAGCATCTGACTCTTGGTTTTGGCTCACAGCTGGTGAGATTGAGCCCCGTGTCGGGCTCCTGTGCTGACAGTGTGGAGCCTGCTTGGGATTCTCTCTCTCCTTTCTCTGTCCCTCCCCTACTCACGTGCATTCTCTCTCTCTCTCTCTCTCTCTCTCTCAAGAGAAGCAAATAAACATTAAAAAAAAATCTTGAAGAATTGTGCTAAATCTAGTCTGTGTTGTGTAACTGGAACAATAAAACCTGGAAGACAGCACGTGTTTACAAACGATTTACTGAGTATTTTGAGCCCACTGTTGGGCCTTACTGTGCAGAGAAAAAGACTCCTTTCAAATATCACTGCTCATTGGGGTGCCTGGGTGGCTCAGTCGGTAGAGCATCTGACTTCGGCTCAGGTCATGATCTCATGGTTTGTAAGTTCGAGCCCCACGCCAGGCTCTGGGCTGACAGCTTGGAGCCTGGAGCCTGCTTCAGATTCTATGTCTCCTTCTCTTTTGGCTCCTTCCCGCTTGCACTCTGTCTCTGTATCTCAAAAATGGATAAATGTTTAAAAAATTAAAAATACGGGGGCGCCTGGGTGGCTTAGTCGGTTAAGCATCCGACTTTCGCTTAGGTCATGATCTTGCGGTTCGTGGGTTCGAGCCCTGTGTCGGGCTCTGTGCTGACTGCCAGCTCAGAGCCTGGAGCCTGTTTCAGTCTGTGACTCCCTCTCTCTCTGACCCTCCCCTGCTCACGCTCTCTTTCTCCTAGAAATAAATAAAACATTAAAAAAAAAAATTTTTTTTTAAATATGACTGCTCATTGATAATGCGCCTGGTCACCCAAAAGCTCTGGTGGAGATGTCCAGCAAGATTAATATTATTTTCATGCCTGCTAACAGAACATCCATTCTGCAGCCTGTGGATCAAGGGGTAATTCAACTTTCAAGCTCTATTATTTAAGAAATAAATTTTGTAAGGCTACAGGTGCCATAGTAGTCTTCTAATGGATCTAGGCAGAATAAGTTAAAAATCTTCTGGAAAAGATTCACCATTCTAGATACTATTAAGAACATCTGTGATATATGGAACAAGGTCCAAATATCAGCACAAACAGGAGTTTGGAAGAAGTTGATTCCAGCTATGGCAGCAATGACTTTTAGGGCTTCAGGACCTCGGTGGAGAAGAAGCTGCAGATGTGTTGGAAAGAGCAAGAGAACGGCAATCGCAGAATTGGGGCCTGAGGATGTGACTGAACGGCTGCGGTCTCGTGATACAACTTGAGCAGATGCAGGGTTGCTGCTGATGGATGAGCAAAGTGGTTTCTCGTGATAGATACTGCTCCTGGTGGGATGCTGTGAAGATTATTGACATGATGACAAAGGATTTAAAATATTACATAAATTTAGTGGATAAAGCAGTGGCAGAGTTTGAGAGGATGGACTTGAATTTTGAGAGAAGTTCCAATTGTGAATAAAGTGATGTCAGACAGCATCGTATGCTAAGAGAAGTCACATGTGAAAGACAATCGATGTGACAGACTCCATTGTTTTATTTTAAGAAACTACAACGGCCACCCCAATCATAAGCAACCACCACCCTCATCAGTTAACAGTCTGATCAGTATCAAGGCAAGACCCTCCACCAGCAAAAAGGTTATAACCTGAAAGCTCAGATGACGTTGAGCATTTTTTAGCAACAAAGTATTTTTTAATTTAGGTGTGAACATTGCTTTTTTAGACACAATACTATTGCACACTTAATGGACTACAGTATAGTGTAAATATAACATATATATGCTGAGAAACCAGAAAATTCATTTGACTTGTTCTGTTGTGATAGTTGTTTTATCACCATGGTCTGAACCAAACCCACAGTATCCCCAAGTTCTGCTTGTACATTGGTAAAGACTCAAGAAGTAAGTTTTTATGGTATGGTCCCATTTTGGGTTTAACCTGTGTTGTTAATGGGGCATCATTTTTCCTTGCTCTACAGTAATTTGAATATCACATCTCTTGATCAGCTTATTTGTCCTTTGATCAAATTTCTCTAAAGACGCTTATCCTATAAACTTTTGTGCCCTTGAGACGCTAATATTTACCCTTTCTTCAAATACTATATAGTTGTCTTTCCTACTTGAGAAAAGTTTTCATTTTATTTCTTCCTGAAAAACTTATTGAGTGGTTATTCTGTGGTCAGTGCCCCCACTTCCTTTTATTCCTTCATCGTCACTGTCCTTTTGAAACTGAGTTTGCCATGAGGTTTTAGCCAAGTCGAGTTCATTGTCTTCTATCCTTATGACCTCTCTGCTGCACTATATGTTGCTGCTTTGTTCCTTTTCCGAACATTTGCTCTACTGTTTCTTCAGCCTCTGATAACACTTGCCAGTCACTTTTAATGATCATTTTCCTCATCTTCCTCAACTGCCAGTGTTTGCAGGCTGCAGCCTTTGGCTTTTTGTTGTTTTCCTTTTGTGCTACTTTTCAAGGAAATCTTAGCCTTTCTTAGGATTTGAGCTTTCCTTCAGCTGTTACCATGTGGTTTCATTTCTCACATCTTGATGTTTCCTCTTAGTATGCCCAAACGGGAATTATTGTCACTTTGAAAGAGCTGTTTTTTCTAGTCACCCATTTGTATTCCATGTCTCCATGTGATTACATTTCTGTTTAGATTTTTGTCATTTCACTTTCTACATCTGAGATAGAATATAATCTCTTCTCTATCTGCCTTTTCACAAACCATGTTCCTTTACTAATTGCCAATAAGTGTCCGAATCATTATGTAAAAACTTAATGTCATTCCTAACTCATCCATCTCTTTCATAGTCATCTGCTACCTGGTTTAAAATTTTTATTTGTTTGTTTTGGCAATGTCTCTCATCACTTCCACTCCCTCCTCTCTTTTTTTTCTTTACTGCTACTATTTGGTCCCATTCTGTAATTTTCTCGCCTTGATTATTTCAGATAACCTTTTAATTTGTGTCTGTTTTTTCTTCTGTGCATTCCCTCCTAAGAATTTATACAACTTTCTAAGTTGTATTCTTGGGAATATGAGTTATGACTGTTTTGGCCTTTGTAGTTGTAAGTCCCTTGCATTTAAAAAAGTTTTATGAGTCAAATATGTATTCTTACATACCAAGGTTTAGTCTTTCCCATTTTTGAAAAATTAAGAATGATTAATTTTAGAAAGTATTTTGATGATGTGTCATTGTACCTCCCATGTTTGTGTCTTAAGTCAGAGATTTACCTGTAAGAAAAAAATTTAATAACTTGAAGGTCTTTGATGCTTGAGAGACTAGAAAGATTTGATGTAGTGACATGAATTGTATTTCAGGGTGTCCTGATGTCCGAAGAAGAGGTATTTGAACTTGTTCCTGATGATGAGCGACAGTGTTCAGCGTGCAGAACCACATGTTTTCTCTCTGCTCTGACGTGCTCCTGTAATCCTGAGCGGCTTGTGTGTCTCTACCATCCAGCTGATCTGTGCCCCTGCCCCATGCAGAAGAAGTGTCTTAGGTATCCATAAATTTCTTAGAAAACTTGTTACTTTGAAAACCAAGGGCATTGTTCTCTGTAGTTTGCCTTCATCCACATGATGTAGACTCGTAGCTTTTCCTTGTCTCTTTGCCTCCCTGCTGAGGACCAGTCCTTTAAAGTTGGCTCTAAACTTAGCAATCGAAGTTATTTTTTTAATTAGTTGATTTCATATGTTCCCTGTCTCTTCCTGCATTAAACCTCTGTGGGCAGCTTTGATTTGTTCTAAGACCCCATTCCCCTGGTCATTGTATTAATTAATAAGCTGATTATGTTTAAAATTTATTTCCAAGTTATTGTTGCATTTTGAAGTTTTTATTTCTGTGTTTTGTTTTCTTTGTTTTTAGGTACCGCTACCCATTAGAAGACCTCCCTTCTCTGCTATATGGTGTGAAAGTCAGGGCACAGTCCTATGACACTTGGGTCAGCCGTGTTACAGAAGCATTATCTGCCAACTTCAACCACAAGAAAGGTTAAGTTTCGTCCTTTTGTATGCATACACTGAAATTATTGTCACAGTGAGAGGCCTTGGTTTGTTTTACGTGTTTTTCCTCTATTAAGGAAAAATCCTAGGCTTCATTTAAGATTTGGAACTAATGGATTGGTTGACTGACTTAGATTTAGTTTTCTATTTGAGAATCTTCTCCTACATGAAAAGTTAATATGAAATCGACAGATGGCTAACTGGCAGTAGATATGTATTTTGGGGAGCCATTGTTACCAGTGGACTAACACTGAAGGCTAATTAAGAATGAGGAATTGGCAGGAACCCTGGGTGGCTCAGTCAGTTAAGTGTCTAAGTGATGATCTCATAGTTTGTGGGATCAAACCCTGTGTTGGGCTCTGTGCTGGCAGTGTGCAGAGACTTCTTGGGATTCTCTGTCTCTCTTTTTCTCTCGCTCCTCCTCTGCTTGCGTGCTCTCTCTCTCTCTCAAAATAAATAAACAAAACATTAAAAAAAAAAAAATAATGAAGAGGTACCTTACCTGAGAGGAAATCGTCCATGAGGATTAGGAATACCTGCTCATAAGGTGTCATTGCGTTGGTGAGATCTTCCCAGCTGCGATGATTTTTCTGATAGGTTGAGGACTAACTTGAGAGGGGTTGGTGAATATTTTTGAATGGCTTTTTATGTCTGTGGTCATAGCATTTGGCTTTCTTTTTACAGACTTGATTGAATTACGAGTAATGCTGGAAGATGCTGAGGATAGGAAATACCCAGAGAATGATCTCTTTAGAAAACTCAGGGATGCTGTAAAAGAGGCGGAGACCTGTGCCTCTGTGGCTCAGTTGCTTCTCAGCAAAAAGCAGAAGCACAGGTGAGACTGCGAAGGAGCGTTGGGGTCCCCAGTGGGTTCTTGTGTGTTTTTTGGTTTTGGTTTTTCTTTCAGAGTGAAAGCCAAAATTTTAACTGGCTCACAAGGCCCTGTATTATCGTTGACCTCTTGTGGCCATTTATTTTCATTCCTCCTCCGGTCATGTTCCAGTCTTCCCGCCTACTACTCTCCTTTCTTTCTTGCTTCACTCTGCAGTCTTTTTTCCCTTTCTGCTTTTCTTACACACTGGGCACATTTCTCCTTCTGGCCTTCACTTCATTCTTCACTCTGATTAGAGTTCTCTTCCCTGATATTCAGGTGGCCTGTCCCTCACTTCTTTCAGGTCTTTTTCAGATGACGCATTCTTGAAGAAGCCTTCTCTGAAACCTTTTATAAAATTGCAACCTTTTTATTCTTTCCTGTTTTGTTTTTCTCCTAGCCCGGTCACCTATTGATATACTAATTCATTATGTCTTCTTTTCTTTCCCAGTCCCCCTAGAACATGTGTGAGACTAGGATGTTGGAGATTTTTTTATCCTTTTTTTCATTGCTTTATTCCTTGTGCTTAGAATAATGCCTGGCACATAGTAAGTGTGCAGTAAATATTTGTAAATAAATAAATGATACTACACACTGAAGGCAGGTGGCAGCAAAGAGTAACCTCCATGGATGCAGGAGAGGCTGTTACTAAGGAGTGTAGAAGTATGCACTCTTGATTTAATGTCATTTGTATGTGTGAAATTTTCTGTGGCATTGCTTTGTCTTCATTCCAACACATTCTTGGTACCGGAACAGATTCTTCTATAGCACTTCACGTTGGGTTTTAAATTACTTTGTATATTTTTTACTTACCATTTCATTAGAGAACTTTTCTTAAAGATGTTGGTCACCAAATCTTCACCTGTCATTGGGTCACTAACTCTCTTGGAGAATCTGGCAAAAGCTTAGAGACCCTTTTCTTGGAAAAATGAGTATACACATACAGTTCTGAATATGTTTCAGAGGGTTTATTGTCTCCTAAGCTAAGTTAAAGGTGCCCTTGTTCCACATTTTAAGCTCTATGAGGTTGAGGATTTAGTTTTATTAATGAACATATTTTACTTTGAGGAATTTATTGACTGTTTGAAATGTTTAACACTTGTAAGATTGGAGGAAATATAACTTGGAGTATTGAATCTTTGAGTCATTAACTAAAGAAGTAAAAACCTAATTTGGAGGTGATCACCATTACAGTGGCACCTCTCAAACACTCGTACTCTGGGGTTGCTTGGGTTAGATTCTAGAGACTAGAAGCCCCTTTGATATTAGATGACTATGAACTTTTCTTACTTATGTCTCAATATTATTTCACATCAGGCAGAGCCCAGATAGTGGGAGGACTCGGACCAAACTGACAGTGGAAGAATTGAAGGCCTTTGTCCAACAACTTTTTAGTCTTCCATGTGTCATCAGCCAAGCTCGACAAGTAAAGGTGGAGTATTACATTTCTTTTCTTGGATAATATCCTTTGTAGTCTGGGTTTCTGTTGTGGGCAAACAAAATTGTGTGTCCAGACTAGTCTTTTTTTCTGTTTGTTTCTCATGTAAGTGCTGCTGACAGTAAGAATCCTTTGGTTTAGGGGCGCCTGGGTGGCTTAGTCGCTTAGACATTCGTCTCTTGATTTCTTCTCAGATCATGATCTCACTGTCTGTAGGTTTGAGCCTGCATTGGGCTCTGTGCTGACAGTTCAGAGCCTGCTTGGGATTCTCCCTCTCCCTCTTTCTCTGCCCCTCCCCTGCACACACACACACTCTCTCTCTCTCTCTCAAACTAAATAAATAAACTTTAAAAAAAAAAAGAATCTCTTGGTTTAGTTCTTAGCCTTTAATACTCTCTTTAGGATTCTGGAACCAAGAGTAGTTAGTTTAGATTTTTTTTCTGTATTAATTTTAGATCAGAATCCCCATTTGGCATAGATATTAATTGAAATGCAAGAAAATCATTAAAAGAATCTAAATGTATTAGTAAATTATTAGTTCATGAGTTTTTAAAAATACAGCTCTGAAATCACTAGAGCCCTGATGGTTTCTTGAATATGTAGAAATCTCAGAAGTATATATCAAATATATTAATTAGTGTAGTTAATTGTCCTTTGATAGTCTGTGTTGTATTTTGTGATTTGGCCATGGGCAGGATGTCTGAAACGTTTTTCATCGAGGTTGTCAGCTTGTGAAATCCAGTATCAGTTGTTTTTGCTTTGTTCCCTGTCGTAGGAGCATTTTGGTAGTTGACCACCCTTTCCTTTCTGAGAGACTTTCTTCTCTAAACATCTGTGTCACACTCTCTGATTTTCTAGGTTATTCACAGTTCCTTCTTTTTAGTCTTCTTTGTTATTTGTTTTCTCCTTGGCTTGACTTCTAATTGTGGAGTCTCAACCCTTTCTTTACTCTAGGTCCTGACATCATATTTGTTTAGTGAGATTAAATATCATCTATATCCTGTTGAGTCCCAGATCACCAACTCTCAGTGCCTTTGTTTTTTCCTACAGGCTTATATGTCCAGTGGCATACTCTCCATATCTCTTTGGCCGACTAAAGGCATTTTAAGTCTTTTAATGAATCAAAATCCTTGATTCCTTTATGTCCGTGATACCCTACAACCAGTCTCTAAACAAGTGCTGTTATTATATTATCTTCAAAATGTATCCCAGAGTGAACCATTTATCATCATGTCCATTGCTTAAACTATGCTCTGAACCACTAGATTCTATGCCTTAGATTACTGTAATAGCTTCCTAACTCATCTCTTTTTTTGTCCTTGATAGTTTATTTTTTATTTGGTAGCCAGAATGATTGTGTAAAATATAAATCCAATCATATCATTTATTTGTGGTTAAAATTCTCCAGTGCTTCCTCAAAGCCATTAGAATGAAATCTAAATTCATAATCTATAGGGCACTATGTAATCTGACCTCTGTTTGTTTTTAAACTACATTCTCCACTTTGTTTCTCACCATCCACTCATCCAAATGAGCAAGATGGCAAGCTCATTTCTCTTTACAAACTTTTGCAGTTATTACTTGCCCTGCCTGAACTGCTCTTACTCCAGATCTTCATATAGTGCCCACTTCTATCTCCTTATTTTAGTTTCAGTTCATCAGTTTTCTATGACCAACATTGCAGTGTAGTATGCCCTCCTCCTCTGGTCATTCTCTATTTTGTTGTCCTATTTTATTTTCATAGCATTTAGAACTAACTGAAACTTTCATTCATGCATTTAGCGTCTGGCTATTTAGATTAAAATGTGTTCATTGAAGACTAGGACTTTGTATGTTGTAATACTGTGCGCTTAGAACAGTGGCTGTATCTAAGTCTGCAGTCTTTAAATATTTTCTGAATGGGGGCATCTGGGTGGCTCAGTTGGTTAAGTGTCTGACTTCGGCTTAGGTCATGATCTTGCAGTTCGTGAGTTCGAGTCCTGCGTCCGGCTCTGTGCTGCCAGCTTGGAGCCTGGAGCCTGCTTTGGATTCTGTGTCTCCCTCTCTCTCTGCCCCTACCCTGCTTGTGCCCTGTCTCTCTCTCTCTCTCTCTCTCTCTCTCTCTCAAGAATAAACATTAAAAAACTTTTAAAAAAATATTTTTTGAATGATTTAATCATATTTTTAAAGTAAGAAGGTAAGTATTTGTGTTTTTAACTATTGTATCTTTTTGGTGCTATAATGTTGAGCTTATTAGATATTCTAGAATTTGTTAGTTTACCTGAGCTATATTCCGTACTCATTTTGTATCTTTTAAATTTGTTTTTTTGTTTTTTACTTTTTCAGAATCTCCTGGATGATGTGGAAGAGTTTCATGAACGTGCTCAAGAGGCCATGATGGATGAAACCCCAGATTCCTCCAAACTCCAAATGTTGATAGACATGGGTTCTAGTCTCTATGTGGAGCTGCCTGAATTAGCTCGACTAAAGCAAGAGCTACAGCAGGCTCGATGGTTGGATGAAGTAAGACTGACCCTATCAGAACCACAGCAGGTCACTTTGGATGTCATGAAAAAACTGATAGACTCTGGGGTGGGGTTGGCGCCCCACCATGCTGTGGAGAAGGCGATGGCTGAACTACAGGAGCTCCTTACCGTCTCTGAGCGATGGGAAGAAAAGGCCAAGGTCTGCCTGCAGGCAAGGTGAACACATATATTGGTGACTGTTGCCTCTTTAATAACTAAGAGTAGAACCGAAGGAAGAACATAAGGCTATTTTTCATTAAATGTTTCATTAGATGTTTTATGCCTTCCCTGATCAATAGGTCTGCACATAAACAGTTTCAAATATTGTGTGCACGCTAGTGCAGAGTACTTTGCTAGATACTCTAAGTGGTACAAAGTAGTATTTTGTTTAGAACCTATGCTGTATTTCAGAGCTAAGAAATGTAAAGGTCACGACAGTGTGTTCCTGTTAACTAAGAGGTACATAAAAATACAATAGGAGTTTAGAGGAGGAGAGGTCAGTGTTAGCTTGGGTGCTCAGAAGAGAAGGTGGAGAGAAATGAAAGAACTTAGGTAGACCCTTGACGCGTGAGTGGGATTGAAGTGAAAGGGAGATAAGAGGAATGTCCTAAGCCAAGTTTAAGGAATATATATATAGGGTGTGTTTTGGTGACAGAAGTTTAAGGGCTTCACTGGAGTGGAGGATTTATGCAGGAAAGTACTCGGAAAGAAGGAAAAAGAAAGGCAAGAGAACATTTAGTTGAATTAGCATTGGTACCCCATGGGATTTGTGAGATTTCAGTAAAGCATTCATCATATTTGTGTTTCAACTAATTTCATAATTACTAAGAACCAATGTTCTTTATTAAAGTATTTCTTCAGCTAAAATTGACACCGGATTTCTCATGTGAGGATGAGGAACCCAGTATACTTAGATCACATAGTTTTTAAATAGCACAGCTCAAATTTAAAGTCTTTCCCACTTTATTCCAAAGTCTTCATGTACTTAACTACTTTGCCAGCCACTTATTTTGAATGCATATGATAGGAAAAGCCATAGATGATTTAATGAACACAGTTCTCTTTTGCCAAGAAAAGGCTGCATGTATTTTTGCTGGATATTTCTTTTGCTCTCCAGATGCCATGGAGAATACATACTAAAATGTATCCATAGCTTTTTCTCTTTGAAATCTTGAAACTACTCAGTGTTTTCATATTCATGACAATTCCAGGAGCATATTAAATGGGTAAAACTAAGTAACTTTGGAATGCAAAACTATGATTTGGTATACCTGATGCAACTTATGGTAGTCTACAGAATGAAATATTGTCAGTAATATGTGAAAACTTACTTTCTCCCATTTTTCTGCATTTAATCAGTCACCAAGTTTTAGTGAGTTTTCCTCCAAAATGTCTTTCATGTCTGTCTTCATTGTCATTGACCTAGTTATAGTACTCTTTATTTTCCCTTAATCTTTGCAATTCAGTAAGTATTTACGGAGTACCCACTACATGCCAGGTACTATTTCTCAGTGCTGTAGAGACAGTAGGGAAAAGCACACAAAGTCCGTGCTCTAAAATAGAGCCAGCCTAGTGGGGAGAGCCAAGAGACAGGTGAATACGTGAGTGTATGAATGGTTGAATGAATTTCAGATGATGTCATTGAAGAACATAAAATTAGAAAGTAGAGGGTGACGGAGTTTGGTGGAGATAGTGGGAAGAAGAATCTTTTGTTTTCTTACTCCTGTCAAAGTTATCTTTTTTTGTTTGTTTGTTTGTTTTTAAATATAATTTATTGTCAAGTTAGCTAACATACAGTGTATACAGCGTGCTCTTGGCTTCAGGGTTAGATTCCCATGATTCATCACTTACAGACAACACCCAGTGCTCATCCCAGCAAGTGCCTCCTCAGTGGCCACCACCCATTTTCCCCTCTCCCCCGCCCCCTGTCCTCAACCCCCTGTTTGTTCTCTGTATTTAAGAGTCTCCTATGGTTTGCCTCCCTCCCTCTCTGTTTAAAACTATTCTTTCCCCTTCTTTTACCCTGTGGTCTTAGCATAATACCCTCCAGTTCCATCCACATTGTTGCAAATGGCAGATTTCATTCTTTCTCATTACCAAGTAGTATTCTATTTTATTTTTAAACCACATCTTCTGAATGGATAAAATTATCTTTTGGAAACACATGTATAATATTCTTTACCTCTTAGCATTGATTAATTACTGATCGTTATTTTCTCAACACCCATCTTCTTTGCTTTTGGCCTTTTCTCCTTGCCTCTTAAATAAAAGCCTTCCTCAAGATCCTGGTGTAGACCACTTCTTTTTTCACTCTGTACATCTCCCTGGAAATTTCATCTAATTTCTTGGCTCCATTTGCCATCTTTATAGTCATTAACTCCAAATTCTCACCTATAACATATATTTCATAGATACTATCTGCTTACTAGATAATTCCATTCGATGTCCTGTTGGTACCTCAGTTTCCCATATCCAAATTTGGATTCATTGACTCTTTCCCATCATCTCTTCCTCTCCTCCTTTTTTCTTTGAACTATGCCATTTTTTTCTTCCTCTACATAAGCCAGTACTTTGGAAATTAATCTTTCCTTTCCATTTCCTTACCCTCAAACTTAGTTAACTACCAAGTCATGTTGGTTATATTTCCTTGATGTTTCTCACTTTTCATTCTTCTTTTGGGTGCTGTCATAGCTGGCCTAAATCATAGCAACAGGTTCTGTGACCTCACTCTTCTCTAACCCATTCTCTACACTGCAACTTGTATTTTCCTAAAATACAGGTTTGGCTTTTTGACTCCCTTGTTTAAAGCCCTTCAGTGTTTCCCATTCTCCTTGGGATGAAATTTAGATTCCTTAACCTGATTCATACGGCCATCTGTAATCTAGCCCTTTGCTTTGCTTCAGGATCTAGCCTCATCCCTTGCTGTTCTTCTTTGCATTCTATGTTCCAGACATAGTGATCCCCCCTTGCTTTTCTCAGACATGGCATGTTCTTTCTTGTCCCTGGACCTTTGCGCATGCTTACTTTGTTTTCCTGTGGAACAGTCTTCCCTTCTGCCCAGCCCCTGTGGTGTGCCCCTCCCCTGCCTCTGGTCCCAGCCTTCCTGACTCACTCCTATTCAAAAAGGATAAGAAAGCTTAGAGGTCACTTCTGGGAAGGCTTCCTTGACAAGTCAGTATAGGCTGTCCTACTACTATATATTCTGATAGCATCTTACAGTGCATCATAACTTTGTATTAATAAGCCCCTTCCACCACAAGATTAAAAAGTTTCATAGACATATAGCAGAATTTCTGGGTGATGAAACTATTCCCAGCCTTGGTAGCTTCCTATTGCTTTCATAGTGAAAGTCATGGCTCTCAAGACCTCATAGCAGTTTTTATCTTTCCTTCCTGTCACGCTCCCCTACTTTCTGCTCTTACTCTTACTGCTACTCCTGTTCTCTCTCCATCTTCACACCAGCCTCCATCTTAAACTGGACTCCTAAGTTAATTTTTTAAAAGATTTTATTTTTTAAATAATCTCTACCTCCAGCGTGGGCCTTGAGCTTATGGCCCTGAGATCAAGAGTTGCGTGCTCTACTCACTGAGCCAGTTAGGTGCCCGTGGACCACTGACTTATTTTTAAATGTTTCTTCCTGTCTTTGTTCATCATGTTCCTGGTATTTCTCTTTAACATTTCACTTAAAATCACTTCTTTAAGCCCCAGCTCAAAGGCCTTCTCAGTTCTCCTAAGCAGAATTAATCACTGCTTCTCCTTTTGGTGAGCCTATAGTATTGTTCCTGGTCCCCAGTACAAGTTCAATTCTTATCTTGTATTCTGTTAGTTGAGGATAAAGTCTATCTTATGCATCTTTCTGTAAGTAGGTATTCTTGAATGCAGTTGAATTAAATGTATATGGTCAACATTAATGGACTTCTAGACTGTTGCTTTCTACATTGCTGTGTAATTTGCATCTCTGATTTCAGATTTTGTAGAGAACTAAAACAGATTCAATTTACAATTTAGTATAGTGAAAAGAACATGGGATCTGAGACTCATTCTGAATCAATATTCCTGCTCTGCCATTCACTGTATTAAATGACTTTGGGGCAAAATAACTGATTTTTGAGTTAAGGTTTTCTTATTTGTAAACTGGAAATAAAGATAATAGCTGCTTTGCCTCCATTACAGAATTGTGGTAAGAACTAGGCAAAATCATGTATATGAAAGTTCTCTGCGTATTCCAAAATGTTATATAAATGTTGGTAGCAGTTTGACTTTTCCTCATGCATCTACCCTTTCTTTGTGCTTTTTAGACCACGGCACAGCGTGGCAAGTTTAGAAAGCATAGTGAATGAAGCCAAGAACATTCCAGCCTTTCTACCCAATGTGTTGTCCCTGAAAGAAGCCTTACAAAAGGCTCGAGAATGGACAGCTAAAGTAGAAGCTATTCAGGTAAGGAGCCTCTTGAGCTATCCCATCATTCAGGTAATGCTGTCTCACAGATGAATTCTTTAAGCCTGTAACTCTTTAGAATAGAATACCCATAATAAAATAATGATAGTACTTAAAATTCAGTTGCTCTTCCATCTGACTTTGTCATTCAAAGTTTACCTACCTAATGTTAACTTGTTTTGTTGACTCCTTGCTGTGAAAGATGACAGAATTAGCTATTTAACTCTTAGCAATAGGGAGTTTACTCCTTGCTGTATTCTTTGAATCTTTGTCATGTGCCCAAATTACTTTTAAAATAAGAGGCAGCAAAAAGAAAGTGAAATTAATATTTACTGATCCCGATAATACTCATGTTACTATTCTAGTTTGGGAGCAGAAATGTGAGGGAAGGTTGTAAAGGCAGTACCCTAACCCTCAAAATAGCATATTCTTTAGTTAGAAAGACACATATCATACATTTTCATTTAAAACAAACTGTAATGAGGCACCTGGGTGTCTCAGTCAGTTGACCATCCAACTCTTGATTGCAGTTCAGGTCATGATCTAGGGTTGTGGGATCGAGCCCTGTGTTGGCCTTTATGCTGAGCATGAAGCCTGCTTAAGATTCTCTCTCTCCCTCTGCCCCTCTACCCCCACTCATGCTCGCTCGCTCGCTCTCTCTCTCTAAAAGAAAAAAAAATTAAAACAGAATGAAATACGGGCTAGAGGTGAAACTATATTTGAATGTATAATATTCCTTCTGAATTATAAAAACCTCCGGGCATTTTCAGTTTTGAGGGTATATCTACTCTTTATTAAGGAACTATATCCAAATAAAAGGAAACCCAACTCTTAAGAGAGAACATATTGTAGTTGTCAAGTTCTAATGACTTCTGTTTTACTTTAAGTTGGTTATTTCTGGCAGCTGCTTAGCTACACTTTTTCTATGCTATTTTTAAAATTATTCATGTTTTCATTAGGGCAGCTTTTCTGTTTCATCTTTAACCTATTTCAGGCAGTTGGTTGTCCTCAAATGTCTGATCATCCTTAGTTGGCTGTTTTTTTATGACTGTAGGACGAAGTCTACAAGGGTAGGTGGCTGCCATGTGTCTCCTCTGTCATTTAGAGGACTTTTCCTCCACCAAGCCCTCCCTTCTGTGGGGAGATGGACTTGTAGGTTCCAAGTAAGTGGACAACTTCTGTTGACAGGCAAACACTTCTTAAGATACATAGTTTGGGAGCAGGTCTAAGTCTTAGCCAGGAGATACTCTGTAGTCAAGCAGCTATAGTTGGACACAAGACAGAGTACGAGTAAACATGGTATTTCTCAACCATGTCTGTGTTTGAGCTTTCTTTCTCTTCCAGTTTGCTGTCTATTCTTTAATCGTAGTCCTCAATGATTTTAATTATACCATTTTTACTATCTATTAGGGCTAGAACCTTCCCATTATTCTTTGTAAAAATTGACTAAAATTGGTGCACCTGGTTGGCTCATTTGGCAGAGCATGGGACTCTTGATCTTGGGGTTGTGAGTTCAAGCCCTCTGTTGGGCGCCAGAGCTTCCTTTAAAGAAAAAAGAATCACTGAAGTTTCTTATTTATTTTTCCCCATGTTTCAGTGTAACTTTCCAAATGAATTTTTGGGCAAATGAGTCAGTTAATACATAGGAAATAACTTTTTATTAGAATGTCTGTTTAGCATGTAACTATGCCTTTCCTTCATTCAGAGCCTCTGAGTAACAATGAATGTTAATGGCATTTATACAGTTTCTTGTAGGGATGGTTACGTGTCCTGTGTACCTAGAGATTCATCCAGTCTATCACTCAGATTTACTGTAATGAGCTGCTTGTTAACCCTCTCCCCTCTTGTAATGATTCATTTAGTTAGTAAATTTAAAGCAGTAATAGTTCTAAAAACAATACTGACTTCATTACACAGAAGTACTGAACCATGTGACTAAGGCAAATATCCATTCTCATCTGTATTTATAGAACATAAAATGCAGGTGGTTTTGAGAACTAAAATACTGCTTTGTAGTATTTGGAAAAGTTGAGAGATTGAAATAGGCAAAAGAGATTACCGATGCCATTTCAGTCGAATATTGGATGTTGTGTAGTGAACCCTCCAGGATTATCTCATTGATGGAGTGTGTGCCTTAGGTTTTCTTTGACTAGGTCATTTTACAACTCTGTCAATTACTAAAAAATGATAGTAATACAAATGAATTATGTTCATAGAAAAGGAGTTAAACTTATCTATAATGGAACAATTGATTTCCACATGGTAGAGATGATTGCATTGTCTGGTAGGATATTAAACATCTGTTTCCATCTATTAGCACTTTCCTTGCCTCATTCTTGATTGTATTTATATACATCTGTTCTTTAGATTATCTTTTGAACTGGTTTTTACATTTTAGTTGGTTCTCAATTAATAAAATAAAAAACCTTGACAACACAAATTTACAGACCTTTTAAAAAGGACATTGGCGGCTCTGTTACTTCAAGAGATATGGTTAGGTTTCTCCTGCACTGTTGGTGGGAATGTAAACTGGTACAGCCCCTCTGGAAAACAGTGTGGAGGTTCCTCAGGAAACTAACAATAGAACTCCCTTATGACCCAGCAATAGCACTGCTAGGAATTTACCCAAGGGATACAGAAATGCTGAGGCATAGGAGCACATGTACCCCAATGTTCATAGCAGCACTCTCCACAATAGCTAAAACATGGAAAGAGCCTAAGTGTCCATCAACAGATGAATGGATCAAGAAGATGTGGTTTATCTATACCATGGAATACTACATGGCAATGAGAAACCATGAAATCTGGCCATGTGTAGCAACATGGATGGACCTTGAGGGTGTTAGGCTGAGCGAAATAAGTCAGGCAGAGAAGGACAAATACCATATGTTTGCACGTATAGGAGGACTAGGAGGAACTTGACGGAGGAACAAGGGGGAGAAGAAGGGCGGAAATGGTGGGGGAAAGGGAGAGAGGCAAACCATGAGAGACTCTTGAATGCTGACAAAAACTGAGGACAGAAGGAGGAGGGGGGGAGGGGGGGATGGGCATGGAGGAGGGCACTTTGGGGATGAGCACTGAGTGTTATGTAGAAACTAATTTGACAATAAACTATTTGTAAAAAAAAAAAAAAAAAGAGATATGGTTAGGTTTAAAGAATAATATTTAATAAAAAGCTTAACACTAAACTCTTTGTAAGATCTTCTGACCACTATCACTAGACTCCATAAGAAAGCACAAGTTGTGTGAGAGTGTACTTTTGTTTTTCAGAGTGGCAGCAACTATGCTTACTTGGAGCAGCTGGAGAGCTTATCTGCTAAAGGGCGCCCTATCCCTGTGCGTCTGGACGCGTTGCCCCAAGTAGAATCACAGGTAGCAGCTGCACGGGCATGGAGAGAACGGACGGGGCGGACCTTTCTTAAGAAGAATTCTAGCCATACGTTGTTGCAGGTAAAGAATAGCTGGTAATTTAACACCTGTAGGTAGGAGTTCCGTTGGTGAGGATTGTTTTCAGTTTATTTGGTCATGGTTATGTAAGTGATTCCTATTAAGTGATATCAGATGTTGACTAGAAACGTGGAGCTTTAGGCAGACTTCTTTCCAGTTCATCTTGTGCTGTGTCCAGAAATGCAATCAGCCTGGGTCTTATCTGTTACTAATGGATTCTGTCATTGAAAGATCTTATTTCTCAAAAGTACAAATTTAATAGTCATTACCTTTTTTATCTTGAGCATTTGAACATCCTAGTTAAAGAGCATAACTAGAGTAAGATAGTTTCATGTTTGAGGACTGGCTCCCTAATTGGTAACCCTATATTGTTGGGCAAGTTGTTTCCTTTCTTAACCTCAGTTTCCCTGGTTTGTAAAATACAGATAATACAACCTACTGCAGAGGGTTGTTGTGAGAATTGAATTAGGTAATGTGTATAAAGTATGTAAAAAAGTGTTTAGGACAAGATGGATGGTCAGTAAATGATTCCTTTTATTATTTTTAGTTTTAAGATTTTTTAAAGACTGGAGCTCAGTGTTTGGTTTTATTTTTGTAGGTGCTGAGTCCCCGGACTGACATTGGTATATATGGGAGTGGTAAAAACAGAAGGAAAAAAGTAAAAGAACTAATAGAAAAAGAAAAAGAAAAGGATCTAGACCTTGAGCCTCTGAGTGATCTGGAGGAAGGATTAGAGGAAACCAGAGATACAGCCATGGTGGTAAGCAGTTATGTAGTGCATCTTGAATCTGCTTGTGAATACAGAATTCTGTGAAGATATTAGCAGATTCACTGGTTTTATGTTCTTAACTATTTCTGTTTTGTAAACTTTATCTTTGGCTTTATAATTATGTATTTCTTTTTTTTTTTTTTAATATTTGTAATCAGAGTTTATCATTTTGTTCTTTCCCTAGTCTTTTCCATATCTCTGTTCTTTATTTTTGTTTTAATAGTTGTGTAATATTCCATGAAATTGTCTGTGATTTGCTGAACACTTTTCTGATTCATCAAATATTTTGATTGTTACTAAATGTTTGTTATTATGGATAATATAAAGTGAACTTCATAAAGCCTTTTCCTTTTTTCAAACTATTTTCCTATACTTGACTCTTAGGAATGGGATTACTGAGTTAGAATTTAATAAGCATTTTGTGACATTTAATACTGTGCTTTTAAGTTTTTAAATTTATTTTCAGAGAGATAGAGTGAGCACAAGCGGGAGAGGGTCAGAGAGAAGGAGAGACAGAATCCCAAGCAGGCTCTGCAACATCAGTGCAGAGCCTGATGTGGGGCCTGAACTGACAAACTGTGAGATCATGACCTGAGCTGAGATCAGGAATCGGATGCTTAACTGACTGTGCTACCCAGGTGTCCCTGTATCCATTTAATGATACCAGCTACTATTTAAAATATCTCCCTTCTCTTGGTAGCATTCATAGTACAGTGGATACTGAAAATATTTGTAGCTAATTAGAATGATGAGTGTTTCTGTTTTTTGAGAGAGGGGGTGCAAGTGAGGAAAGAGAGGAGAGAGAGAGAATCCCATAAAGGGTAGAGAGAGAAGGAGGGAGGGAGAGGGAAGTGGGGCTCACCCAGAGTGGAGCTTGTGCTCATTCAAGGTAGGGCTCAAGTTCACCTGAAGTGGAGCTTGAGCTTACCTGAAGCAGGGCTGGAACTCACCTGAGGTGGGGCTCGAACTCAGGAACTGTGAGATCATGACGTGAGCCAGAGTCGTATGCTTAACCTACTGAGCCACCCAGGTGCCTCAAGAATGATAGGTGTTTTTGGAGAGGAGGAGGAAAGTATGACGACGACTAGGAGCCTGGGGATGTAAAGAAGTAAAAAAAAAAAATGAGTTTGGGCACTATGTAACAGTGGGGAATTACATATATTAAGTCACTTGATGTGGTTATTTCTGCCTACAAATGATCTTGTTTTGAAGCCAGTGGAAATGATTTATTAGCGAGCCTGCCTAACAAGTCAGTCCTGCCTGATGGGTAGGACTGAAAATTATTTTAGAATTGTTTCAAAGCTACCGTAGTTTAAAAAAGAAAATATACTGACAGTGTTCATGATAATTAAATTTTGTTTGCTTTTACTTACTTTTTTTAAAAGTGAGTTACATAAAACCTTGTTATAATTGGTCATCAGGCTTTGTTATTCTACTTCTGCATGAGTTGGAGAGGCTGTTTAGAAAGAAAGAAAAGTTGATCTGTATAGAAATTACCCCTTCCCGGGGAAGGAATATGTATTGAGTGCTTACCTTGTGCGAGGTACCAAGTTAGGCACTTTCATGTATTATCTTATTTGATCCTCAAAACAACAAAATGAGATTGGTTGGTATCCTTATTACCAAGATCCTTATTACCAAGATCATTAGTCTAGATGTCCAAGAGCCAGGCTTCATGCTCAGGTTGCCTGACTCCAGGGCATATTATATTCTCTTCTGCACCTTGTAGAAAAATTCAAAGTACTCTACTGATAAAAATTGTCAAATATGGTAGCACTTTTCTTGTTTCACAAATGATGAATGTCTGTACCCAAATTATGGGAAATAATTGGCAATGATTTTTTTTTTTTTAAAAGGACAGCGCTTGTTACAATCAGGGCACAATGTGGAGATGATCCCTCAGCTGTGAGGATTTGGCATTTTTGGAGTATTTTGCCAGGACTCTTTTTAATTAAATGTTTGTTGTATACAGGTGGCGGTTTTCAAAGAACGGGAGCAAAAAGAGATTGAAGCTATGCATTCCCTCAGAGCAGCCAATCTAGCCAAGATGACAATGGTGGACCGCATAGAAGAAGTAAAGTTTTGCATTTGTCGCAAGACAGCCAGTGGGTTTATGCTACAGTGTGAGCTCTGCAAAGACTGGTTCCATAACAGCTGTGTTCCCCTCCCTAAATCAGGTTCCCAAAAAAAAGGGTCGAGCTGGCAGGCTAAAGAAGTCAAATTCCTTTGCCCTCTATGTATGCGATCTCGAAGGCCAAGGCTAGAGACTATTCTGTCACTCCTGGTATCCCTTCAGAAGTTACCTGTCCGTTTGCCAGAAGGAGAGGCCCTGCAGTGTTTGACGGAACGTGCTATGAGCTGGCAGGACAGAGCCCGGCAGGCGCTGGCCACGGACGAGCTGTCCTCTGCCCTAGCCAAGCTGTCTGTGTTGAGCCAGCGCATGGTGGAGCAGGCAGCTCGAGAAAAAACTGAGAAGATCATCAGTGCAGAGCTCCAAAAAGCAGCTGCCAATCCAGACTTACAGGCAAGTTTGGGATTTACTTTTCTTTTTTTTGATTTCATAGGATTATATTTGTCACCGTATAAGCAGTAAATCAAATATACGTTACCGGCTGATGAGGAAAATAACAGTAAGTTGCCAGAAGCCATGTTACGCATAACACCTTTCTGTATACACCTGTAGAACTTTTTCAGATATATACCTAGGTAATTTTAGTGAACTAGTACTTGGAAATATTGAGATGGACCTTGGCATCATAACCAAATAATTTAAGCTGTACTAACTGTTGATTTCTCTTGGCTGCTTAGCAGGTTCATTACATTTTGTTGGTCTTTTTTATTTTTTTTTTTTATTATTTTTAATGTTTATTTATAATGAGAGAAAGAGAGGTGAGCAGGGAAGGAGCAGAAAGAGAGGGAGACACAGAATGTAAAGCAGTTTTCAGGCTTTGAGCTGTCAGCATGGAGCCCGGTACAGGACTTCACCTCAGAAACCATGAGATCATGACCTGAGCTGAAGTCAGATTCTTAACCGACCGAGCCATCCAGGTGCCCCATTTAAGTTTATTTATTTTGAGAGAGAGAGGGAGAGAGCGTGCGCGTGCGTATGAGAGAGCAGGGGAAGGGTAGAGAGGGAGAGAGAGAATCCTAAGCAGGCTTTGCCCTGTCAGCCTGGTGCCTGATATGAGGGGCTCAATCCCAGGAACTATGAGATCATGACCTGAGCCGAAACTAAGAGTCAGATGCTTAAACAACTGAGCCACCCAGGAGCCCTACATTTTGCTGGTCTTAAGTGCATATTTAGTACTCATGTTTATTTAAAATGTTACTCTGTTCATCTTGGAATATTTTGTTGTTTAGGGACACTTACCTAGTTTCCAGCAGTCTGCTTTTAACCGGGTGGTGAGCAGTGTATCTTCTTCTCCTCGGCAAACAATGGACTATGATGATGAAGAAACAGATTCTGATGAAGACATTCGGGAGACCTATGGCTATGACATGAAGGTAACGAATGACAGGCTCTTTGAGTGCATACCTGATCACTGGGCTTGTTAAAAAAGCTGTTGAACGCTGATGTTTGAAGCCTGAAAGTGGAAGAGAAAACTAGTCATCTATTTATACTGGACTTACGGTGATACCATTTTTTCAAAGCCCCTCAAAATATAGATTGATGAAACAATTCTTTCTCTCTCTCTCTCTCTCTCTCTCTCTCCCCTCCCTCCCTCCCTCCCTCCCTCCCTCCCTCCCTTCCTTCCTTCCTATTCATTGGAAACCGTTTTTTTCCAAAGGATGAAATTTTTAAAAGAATCTTTATTTTCCTCACCTCATAACTCCTTATGGCTTAGTAGGACTAGAAAATCATACATTTAGATTACTAAAAGGTTATGGTTTATTTCAGTATTTTGTTACCTTTGGGTTGTTAAAGTCTGTGTGGTTATGTTTTAAGAATCCCATTGTAGCTGTGCTTTGAGTCTTTTGCTCTGATCTCTCATCTGGTGGTGCTAGATAAAATGTCCTATTTAAAGATGAGTTATACTTGAGCCCACGGTTTGAATTTGCAGAGTCACAGCTGCAGCTAGAAAAAATTATTTGCCCTCGATGTGATCACTTTTATAATGACACCACACTAGGTTTGGCAAGTTTGTTTTGTGTTGGATTTTTACTATTTTGTGTCAGGCCCAAGTCCTTTATCTTTTACCAAGTAATAACACCATGATCTAGGGAGAAACTCTGCCAGCTTACAGTTAATCCATTGATCTGTTTTATATTAGTCTTGTTGAACTGTTTAGAATTTATGTCTCTAACCAGGGTGTTCATACTCTGATGTGTGAAAAGGCAAGGGTACATTTTTTTCCCTACTCCATAACTATCTTTACTTTGTCCTTTCAGTGTGTAAATCAGATAGGTCAGTTCATTCTTAGAGCATGAATATCATCAGCTTTAAAAATCATAGGATATAGGGGTGCCTGAGTGGCTCAGTCGGTTAAGCATTTGACTTTGGCTCAGGTCATCTCACGGTTCGTGAGTTCAAGCCCCACATCAGTCTTTGAGCTGCAGCACAGAGCCTGGAGCCTCCTTCAGATTCTGTGTCTCCCTCTCTCTGTACTATCCCTCATGCTCTGTCTCTCAAAAATAAATAAGTATTTAGGGCGCCTGGGTGGCTCAGTCAGTTAAGCATCCGACTTTGGATCAGGTCATGATCTCACACTTTTTGGGTTTGAGCCCCATGTCAGGCTCTGTGCTGACAGCTAGCTTGGAGCCTGTAGTCTGCTTTGGATTCTGTGTCTCCGTCTCTCTCTGACCCTCCCCTGCTCACTCTCTCTGTCTCTCTCTCAGAAATTTTTTTAAAAAATGAAAAATTAAAAAATAAATATTAAAAAAAGATCATCCATTAAATTTTTTTAATTTAAAAAATTAAAACCATCCATCATAGATGCTTATAAATTATCTGCTGGAAAATATTTTTCTTAAGATAAAAATGCATCTTGGCGATGTTTTAATGAGAAAATTTTTAGTTTTAGAAATTAAAGACTTGAGCAAAGTTGAAACTTGAATTAGCCTGTTAGGTTAAGGTTCTGAGCACCTCATTACTCTGAAGTTAATGACCTTCTTTGCTTATGAAGTTGTATAGGATGACTAGGAGTAGCTGAAAGGGAAGGAAGTCCATGCCACACAGAAGTTAGTACTAGAATTGGCAGTTTACTATAGCTTAGAGACCTTTGATAACTGGGTTTTTATCTTTCTAGCACATTAAGTATCAAACAGTGCTCTAGAATTGCCGAACAGGATGGACTTTGGAAGCAGATTGGTAACCTATGAAAGCAAAACATCAAAAGTATTACAATGATTTTAGGGCTAGGGATCAAACCTTTGGTTTGATATGGTTGTATAGAGTAGTCTTTTTTGTAAAATTTATTTAGTGGTGTTAGCTTACAAGGTCTTCTTTGGTAGGGAAGACTTAGAGTATGAATCATGAATTTATAGTATTAGCAATATATTTGACAATGTAGAACAGTAGAAGAATGGTAGGTGCAAGATTTGGGGTAATTTTCAAGGTCACATTCACCTTGATGTAGGTATCTCTGCATTAAAAAAAATTAAACTCAAGTATTTTCCCATAGAGTGAGCACTTACTGTGCAATTAAAATTTTGCTTTCCTATTTATTCATAATTAGCTTGGTGATTTTTTTCCCTTTGTATGATGTCCCTTGATTTGACCATGAATTCATCTTTAAAATAATTTAAATTTAGTATCTTTGCTTGAAGGAGAGCCTCTTACTGGTTGAGGAAGAAGAGTAGGTAATTATATGGAAAAATAAAATCAGTCATTTGATCTTAGTTATCATAGCATCAATTTGTGCTTTGCATTGTTGGATTACTTCATTTGCATGTAATATCCTATAATCACCACTGAATCACTGAGCAGCAATTTAAGAGAATTATTACTTAGAAAATATATATTTAATGAAGGAAAGTTTGTCATGGATCTTTTGCATTTGTGTCTGGTATAACCTTTTGCATATTCACATGATCATGTCCTTTTTTTTTTTTTTTTCCTTAAGTTTATTTATTTTGAGAGAGAATATGCAAGCAGGGGAGATAGCAGAGAGAGAGAGAGAGAAGAAGAGAGAAAATCCCAAGCAGGCTCAGGCTCAGTGCTGTCAGCACAGAGCTCAACACAGGGTTCGACCTCATGAACTGTGAGATTATTACCTGAGTTGAAATCAAGAGTTGGATGCTTAACTGAGCCACCCAGATGACCTCCTTTTCGACCCTTTTATTAAAAAAAAAAATTTTTTTAACCTTTATTTATTTTTGAGAGAGACAGAGAGACACAATCCAAAGTAGGCTCCAGGAACTGTCAGCACATAAACTCACAAACCGCAAAATCATGATGTGAGCTGAAGCTGGATGCTTAACTGACTGAGCCTCCCAGATGCTCCTTCTCTACCCTTTTTATTTTTATTATTTATTTATTTATTTATTTATTTATTTTTTACCGATAGTTTACTGTCAAGTTGGTTTCCACATAACACCCAGTGCTCATCCCCACAAGTGCCCTCCTCCATGCCCTTCTCCCCCCTCTCCCCCCACACCCATCAGTCCTCAGTTCTCAGCATTCAAGAGTCTCTCATGGTTTGCCTCTCTCCCTCTCCCCCACTCTTCCCCCCTTCTTCTCCCCCACGGTCCTCCGTTAAGTTCCTCCTAATCCTCCTATACGTGCAAACATATGGTATTTGTCCTTCTCTGCCTGACTTATTTTACTCAGCATAACACCCTCAAGTTCCATCCAGGTTGCTACACATGGCCAGATTTCATTCTTTCTCATTGCCATGTAGTATTCCATCGTATAGATAAACCACATCTTCTTGATCCATTCGTCCGTTGATGGACACTTAGGCTCTATGCATCAGCACTCCTATATCCCTTGGGTAAATTCCTAGCAGTGCTATTGGTGGGTCATAGGGGAGTTCTATTGTTAATTTTTTGAGGAACCTCCACACTGTTTTCCAGAGGGGCTGCACCAGTTTACATTCCCACCAACAGTGTAGGAGGGTGCCCGTTTCTCCACATCCTCGCCAGCATCTAGAGTTCTCTGATTTGCTCATTTTAGCCATTCTGAGTGGCGTGAGGTTCTCCACCCTTTTTAATCCTTGGATGGCTTGAACTTTAGTGGAAAGACTCAATTTCTTTATGTTTAACATGTGTCTCTTATACATAGCATGTATATAGTAGGGTCCTTTCTGGACTATAATTCTGCTTATGTATGCATTTATAAAATATACAGTTGAATCTTTTTTTGTGTGTGTTTTGTTTTTAAAGTAATATTATAATCTCTGTCTTTTAATTGGTAGTGTTTAGTCCATTTTCTTTTTTTAGTCCATTTTCCATTTAACATAGTTATTGACATGATTGTGTTTAAGTTCATCATCTTGCTGATGTTTTATTAATCTCTTGGTTTTTGTTCCTTTGTTACTCTTTTCATGCCTTCTTTGGGTGAATTAAAAGAATTTTAATGTTTCATTTCACTTCTGTTATTGACTTCTTGCCTTGTACCTCCTTTTATTTTCAGTGATTGCACTAGGGTTAACAATGTGTCTTTATCTTACATAAGTCAGTATTGTACATATTCACATTTCATGCATCACGTTGGGGAAGTAATTTTTTTAAAAAAACTTTATAGCTATCATTACTTTTGATCATTATTTTCTTATTCTTTTTTTTTAATAAAAAATTCTTTTAATGTTTATTTAGTTTTTGAGAGAGAGACAGAGAGACAGACTGTGAGCGGGGGAAGGGCAGAGAGAGAGGGAGACACAGAGTCCAAAGTAGGCTCAAGGCTCTGAGTTGTCAGCACAGAGCCTGATATGGGCTCAAACTCAAACTGCAAGATCATGACCTGAGCTGAAGTCAGATGCCTAACTGAGCCACCCAGTCACCCCTCCATCATTCTTTTTTTTTTAATTGGATTTAAAAAAAATTTTTTAATGTTTTGTTTATTTCTGAGAGAGAGAGAGACAGTGTGAGCAGGGCAGGGGCAGAGAGAGAGAGAGGGAGACACAGAATCCAAAGCAAGTTCCAGGCTCTAAGCTGTCAGCACAGAGCCCAACGCAGGGCTCAAACTTATGGACCATGAGATCATGACCTGAACAGAAGTTGGACCCTTAACCGACTGAGCCACCCAGGCGCCCCTCACTCATTATTTTCTGATCACTGTTCTTTCCATTTTGAAATCTTAACGGAAAGTTCCCTATATGAGTTACAGTGAAATGAGTAGAGTCAGAGTCAGGAAAGACCATTCTGCATTCTAGTCAGTGAGGAGAAGCATCTGGGAACTAAAGCAGGGACCCTGAAGTAGTCTCCCATCTGATGATTTTTAGAACTTAAATTTTTGAGTAGGAAAGACGACTATAACCTGCTATTCCTAAATTCTCAGTGAATTATATTAGAATTCTTTTAGAAGCCTATTATAAAACCTTTTAAGTGTCCTATTTAATTAAAGATAGTCTCATAATAACAGTAGATCTTCCTCCTGTCCACTGTACAAAGAAAGTCACATGTTGTTTAGTCTTTAAGCTGTGGTCTCTCATCTCCCTTTTTAAAAAATTTTTTTTTAAGTTTATTTATTTTATTTATTTTGAGAGAGAGAAGGAGGGACGAGAGAGGGGAAGAGAGAGAAGCCCGAGCAGGGTCTGCACTGTCAGCTCAGAGCCCAATGTGGGGCTCAAACCCACGAGCCTGTGAGATCATGACCTGAGTTGAAATCAGGAGTTGCATGCTCCACTGACTGAGCCACCCAGGCATCTCTGTAGTCTCTCCTAACTCACTCTTCTGTACTCTGCTTTGTTGCTGGGGGATGGGACTCTACACTAGCGGGTGGTAAACTTTAACATATATATATTAATACACAGTAATATGTAATCTTATAAATAATATATTGTGCATGTGTATGTATATACACATACATATAAAGCTTAGTAAATATTTTAGGCTTTGCAAACCACATATGGTCTCTATTACATATTCTTTTTTCCCCCCTACAGCTCTTTAAAAAAAAAAAATAGACTATTCTTAGCTCTTACTCCATACAGAAAATGAGCTGCCAACTGGGTTGCAGTATGCCAACCAACTCCTGCTTTACACATTTGTTTTCCGCCTGCTGCCTTCCTTCTGCCAATAGAGGATATTAGAGAATTTTAAAAGGCCTGGACAATGAGAAGAGACATGATCTTTCCCGTTTTATCCTCCATTTGTGTCATCATCTGAACTGCATGCTTTTTTTTTTTCTTCTTCTTCTTCTTCTTCTTCTTTTAGTCTGGCATCGGGAACTGGTTCCAGTTGTTGGTGGTTGGTTTTTTCTCACATCCCTGAAACCAACCGCGTCGTGTTCCATTAGAGATAGCAGAACTAACTGACCAGCACTTCCTTCTCAGAGGTCTGGGTCCCAGCTCTGCAGGGCTCCTTCTCTGAGCTTTGTTACCTCAAGGTCTAAGGTTGGCAACTCTTTCTTGGTGTTAGCTTGGTGTTTCCATTTTGCCTTTTCAAGCCTTTAATATACATCTAACCACTTCACTTATTAAATTATCCTTGTTGAAATACCTGTGGTTTCTGTCTTCCTGATTGCACTCTGATCATTAAAGCTGTACTTGTGAGCTTCTCACATTTAACTACAGGGGAATCTGAGAACTAACTAGAGCTGTCAGAAGTGTTTAATTTGAATGTTGTCAGTGAGGCTCTTCGTTGTAAGTAAGAGCAATGGTAATCGAGAGCAGTTGGTAAGCTTCTAGGTTTGAAAACCTTTAGAGAGGATTAAATGATTTTTTTAAGTTTATTTGAGAGAGAGAGAGTGCACGCACATGAGCGATCGCCAGCAGGGGAGGGGCAGAGAGAGAGCAAGAGAGAATCCCAATCAGGCTTCATGCTGTAAGCGTTGAACTCGATGGGGGGTTCAATCCCATGAATGATGAGATCATGGCCTGAACACCTCACTAACTGAGCCACCCAGGCACCTCCTGGATTAAATGATTTGTGTCCTTAAGAGTCACATCTAAACCTTTCTTCCCCTCCTAACTCCATTTTTAGTGTCAAAATTCTCTAACTTGTTGGTATAGGAGTTTTTATGAGTTGTAGACTGTAGAAAGGAGATTATTTAATAGTACTCTTTTTTTTAAATATTTATTTTTGAGAGAGAGAGAGATGGAGCACAAGTGGGGGAGGGGAAGAGAGAGAGGGAGACACAGATTCGGAAGCAGGTTCCAGGCTCTGAGCTCTCAGCACAGGGCCCAATTCGGGACTTGAACCCATGAACTGTGAGATCGTGACCTGAACCGAAGTCGGATATTTACCCAACGGAGCCATCCACACGCCCCTACTAGTAATTTTCTTGAGGTTTATTATCTCTGTGGATTATTTTTGAGCTTTACTCATTCCCTTTTGGCTTGAAACTGTAGTCATTACTATTTTTCCTCCCAGTGGGCATTTTCTGTCCTATTTAATATTACGTATTTAATTTTATGATCATATTTTTAGTATATTACAAGCTTTAACCTGAGAGACTGCATTTAGATACTTGTCACAGTGTAAGTTAAGTGATTCTAATTCTGAATACCCCTCTTTGTTTCTTCCTCAGGACACAGCCAGTGTGAAGTCTTCCAGTAGTCTGGAACCCAATCTTTTTTGTGATGAAGAAATTCCCATCAAGTCTGAAGAGGTGGTCACTCACATGTGGACAGCGCCTTCATTTTGTGCAGAACATGCTTATTCTTCTGCTTCTAAGAGTTGTTCTCAAGGTATTGCCCTGTAAAGCAATGTGGAGAAGATAAGCCTGAAACCACTGAGAAAAAACATTAATCAAGACTGAATCTCTCTTAAATTCATGGTGTATCCTGGTCATGAAATACTAGTAAAACCTGAAAATACAATTTTGGTTAGGAAAAGCTAAGTCTCTATTTTCATTTTATGTTACTAGGTGGTAACCTGAAAAAACTTGCATTGAATTGTTGAATCCTAATGAGAAGAACTTTAGAGGCTCTCTGGTTATCTCATTTATATAAAATCTCTTATAGGCCTCTATTTGTTCATTACCAGTTGTTGAGGAACTTGCTACTTTTTAAGAATATTCATTCTTGTTTTGGAAAGCTTCGTTAGAAATTCTTCCTTTCCTTGGTAGATAATTGCTCTCGTATGTCCACTTTCCTTTTTCCCAGTGAACATACATCATTAGGTCACACCTCTGGGAAGTAAAGGGTGTTTTTCTCTCCATTCAGGATTTTATGGAACAGCTTATTAGGAGGATAGCAACTGATTTGTAAAGGGCATCTCACATGCTTACTAATTAATCCTTTGGTTCTCTAAAATGGAGAGAGAATGGATTAAGAGATTCTTTCCCATTCCACTTCTACTTCAGTCACAGAGTAAGGAATCAGTAAGGAACCAGATTTTTACTCTTAATTTTTGGGAGTAGGCATTAGAATTGTAGATCTTTTTGTTTTGTATATTTTGAAGATTTCATTCTCACTTTCATATGGATACAGTGAATTCAGATATCTAAGGTAAGTATTAGAGGAGGAGGAACCATTCCCCTAAATAATTTACATTGGAAACATTACAGTTTGTCCATGGTTTTAATTTTTCTGCATTGTCTTTTGTTTTATTGGGAAGGTTCTAGTACCCCAAGGAAACAGCCTCGGAAGAGCCCTTTGGTGCCCCGGAGTTTGGAACCTCCAGTGTTGGAGTTGTCACCTGGCGCTAAAGCCCAGCTGGAAGAACTTATGATGGTTGGGGATCTCCTAGAAGTATCTCTGGATGAGACTCAACACATATGGCGGATTTTGCAGGCCACACACCCACCCTCTGAAGACAGATTCCTGCATATCATGGAGGCAAGGATTTAAAGCTTAAACTGTGGCTTTAACATTTTTTAGAATGCGTTGGTTCTTTGGAGGTACCACAAATTCCAGGATGGGGATGGCCGAGTGGGAAGTATTGTGGCTGTCCTACTTTTTTTCCATTAAGCCAAAAATAGTTCTGCTTTATGGCTTTCTTTATTAAGATTTTATGTACTATCTGGAGTGGGGGGGAAGCAAATGCCATTTCTGCTAAAAAGAAAGGAGAGTACTGAAAACTACCAGTTCTTCTAAGGAAGGAACAACTTCCTTATCCCAGACTCCCACTGTTGAAAGGCCCCAAAGGGAAGGCAGAAGAAAATACAGTGGTTAAAAAAAAGAAGTAAGGGAAGGGTTAAATAGAGGAAGAGGGGAGAATAAAAGGGAAGGGTTAAATAGAAGCAAATTGGGGTAGGAAAGAGAGTCCATGTTCATTTATTAATACCTAATATGTTTGCAATTTATATGATGTTTCCCTGTGATCTCATTCAATCCTCACTGTAATCCTGAAGGGGAGAGAGGAAAGGATAGATGGGCAAGTATTGAGCCATGCTATACATGAAGAGATTCAGGGTAAGAGAGGTAGAAACGTTCTTAGATCACACGTTTAGTAAAAACAAAGAGACCTGGGAGTGCCTGGGTGGCTCAGTTGGTTAAGCATATGACTTCAGCTCAGGTCATGATCTCATGGTTTGTGGGTTCAAGCCCCGCATCAGGCTTTGTGCTGACAGCTAGGTCAGAGCCTGGAGCCTGCTTCAGATTCTATGTCTTCCTCTCTCTGACCCTCCCCTGCCCACTCTGTCTGTCTGTCTGTCTGTCTCTCTCTCTCTCTCTCTCTCTCTCTCTCACTCACACACACACACACACACACAGAAATAAATTACAAAAACATAAAAAAAAAAACCCAAAGTGACCTGGATTCCAGCCCTGGCATTGGACTCCTAATATTCTTTTCATTATTCTTTTCCATTACTTATTTCCATGTAATGGAATGTTGCAATGTCACTGACAGTTGATACAAATACACATAGCATGTGATAGTCTTTGGTTTGGAATTCAGATCAAAGGTAATCTGATTTAGATGGTTTTCCAAAATACAAAGAGTTTACTTTACATCCATTATCTCATCTGATCCTCTTCATTTTACATGTAAGGAAACACAAAGTATTGAGAGGGTCAGTGTATAGTGTAAGATGTGATAGACTTCACACATTTATAATGAAGTGTTTTGCATTCTGCAGTTTCTGAGGTTCCTGTCAAAGATTCTCCAGCCTCAAATATGTCACAAAATGAATTCTCAAATGGTGTTTCTTGTCAAGCTTAAAGTTTTTCAACATTTCTTTCTATATACCTCATCCTTGTTCTTGTTGCTAGACATACTTTTACTATTAAAATTTTTAATGTTTATTACATTGGCATATAATAGAAGTTAGAAAAATATTAGAAAATTGAAAAGAAAAATGAGTTTTTTTGCTTTGTCACATCAAATATGTTCTAGCCCTTACCAAAGTTACTATATATCTTTTGTAATGGGATCATGGATACAGTTTTATGTTTTGCCAACCATTTTGATAACTTCTTGGCCTTCAGGAATTAATTGTGAGTTAATAAAGAACTGTAGTAGTAGTAAATGAAGACAAAAAAGCTTATTATATAATTCATTGTACGTTTAGTGCTTTTAGTTTTATGGTTATGCTTTATCTCAATTAAACAGAGGTGCTACACACTATACTCTTATACGCTAACAGTGGTATTTTTTCCCTAGTAATCTAAAGTCAGGTGTTTTATATAGGCTTGCCATTATTTTCTTCTGTTGACTTATTTTCATGGAATATTATATTTGATTTCTTTTGTTTTTTAATGTTTCTTTTTCAGAGAGTGTGTGCATGCATGTGTGCAAGCGGGGGAGGGACCGAGAGGCAGGTGGACAAAGGATCCGAAGTGGGCTCTGCGCTGATAGCAAAGAGCCTGATGTAGGGCTCAAAATCATGAACCCATGAAATCATGACCTGAGTTGAAGTTGGAAACTTAACTGACTGAGCCCCTATATTTGCTTTCTTAAAATGTCTTTTAAATATCTTTAGAACATTGTGTATAATGTACACAACTTAAAATTTACATTAATCCTTCTTAAGTATACAATTCAGTTGTATTAATTGCATTTATAGTGCTCAGCTCTTGCTGCTGTCCATTTCCATTATTGTCCCAAACTAAACATCTGTACACAATAAACAGTAAATACCATTTCCCTCTCTGCTCAGCTCCCAGTACCTCTATTCTCCTCTCTGTTTCTGTTGTTTCTGTTTCTGTTAAGTTTGTTTATTCAAGCTACTTCATATAAGAGAATAAAACCGTTTTTAAATGTCTTGCTTTTAGAGGTGGCTCAGTTGGTTAAGTGTCCTACTCTTGATATCAGCTCAGGTCTTGATCTTAGGGTTGTGATTTCAAGCTCCATATTGGGCTCTGTGCCAGAAGTGGAGCCTACTTAAAATAAATGGATGGATGGATGGATGGGTGGATGGTTGGGTGGATGAATAAAGTAAGCAAGAATGATTATTATTTAAAATAAAATAAATGTCTTGCTTTAAAATTGTTTCTAATTTTATATTGATGAAGGATGACAGCATGGAAGAGAAACCATTAAAAATAAAAGGAAAAGACTCTTCAGAGAAGAAACGGAAACGGAAGCTAGAAAAAGTCGAACAGCTCTTTGGAGAAGGAAAACCGAAGTCCAAGGAGTTAAAAAAAATGGATAAACCTAAAAAGAAGAAATTAAAACTAAGTGCAGAAAAATCAAAGGAGCTGAATAAACTGGCCAAGAAACTGGCGAAGGAAGAAGAGAGAAAGAAGAAGAAGGAGAAGGTAGCTGTGGCCAAAGTTGACCTTGTGAAAGAGACTACTGAGAAGAAGAGAGAGAAAAAAGTGCTGGACATCCCCTCAAAGTATGACTGGTCCGGGGCGGAAGAGTCCGACGACGAGAATGCTGTGTGTGCAGCACAGAACTGCCAGAGGCCCTGCAAGGACAAGGTGAGCTCTTAGCCGGCCGGTCACGGGGGAGAGAGGCCAGGGAGCTCCATCCCCAGCAGGAGCTTGATGGAGTGAGAATCTGGATTTGATTCCAGGATTTGGGCTTCCAACTTCATATGTTTTCTACAGTTTCATAAACTGTTTTTGAATTAGGAGGCTCTTAGGTCAGTGTGCTTAGTAGAAGAAATGTTGTGCTTTAAGAGTCAGGTACTTTGTGAACATAATGAGACAAGAGCAGAGAGAAGCTATGCAATAACCCTGAGTAGCAGTGCATCTCATGTGTAGTTGGCATAGCAGTTTCGGTGTAGGCTTTTGCCTTCCCTGTAGGGTGACTCAGAGAACTGAATACCTTATCAAGTAGTCACAGTGCCCTGGAAACATTTCTGGGCCAGTGTTTTAAGAGCTCTGGCAAATTGCGTTAAGATTTGTTCTAAAGACCTAAACTAAGGGGTTAAATCTTCCCATTTGGTCTGTGTCTTACCAACACTCAGGTCTATGTGCATTCTTCTAAGTGGAGTAATATTTTTTTCAAATACCTTGTGAAAAAATAATTAAGACCTTTAAAGGTATTATTTTAAAAGTTTTGTATATTAATTATGTGATGGCCACTCTAGGTAATATTGACGTTATGAACTTCTGAGAAAGATAGATGAACTTTATGAAAAATCCCAGTTTATTCAATGACTGGAGGCATCTTTTATGGTTCCCATCAAGATTATTAGTAAATTCAGAATTTTAATTTGATCATGCTCATTATACCACTTGATATTTAAATTTTTAATACCCCCCTCGATTTGCATATTTGAACAGAATAAATATAATTGCATCATTATTCCCTTACTTCCCTCCTCAGTCAAATACTTGTTAGAGCTTGAAGAGGTCACCTTGTCCAGGCTCTTCATTTTACAAATGATGGAACCAGGACTCAGTGAAGATAACTGATGTGACCAAAGTCATAGAGCTAATTAGTGCAAAGCCAAAAGTAGAACCGTGTTTCCTGGCTCCCAGACCAGGTTTTCTCCACTAATAACCCCACCCCACCGATAATTAAGATGTAAGTACAAAAGCACATTCCAAAACTGAATGCCACTTACATTTAAATTATACTTATTAAATGTTTTCCACTCATTTTTGGAAAATGAATATATATCTGTTAAGACACATATCCCATAATTTAACCTTCCAGGGGCAATACCTACAAATATTTTATTGTGTTTCCGTCTAGTCCTCTCTAATGGTTTATTTTATGTCATGTCATAATACCTAAACACTTTTGTATCTTTATTATATAAATGTTTCTATTTTATGAACATTTCAAAGCATTTTAGTAGATACATTATATACGTGTGTATATTACTTTCCTTTCATTTTGAATTTATTCTTATACCAATTTGTTTACTAAAGAAGCTGATGAAAGGTTAACTTTTTCTTTGGGTACTGAAGAAGTATTGGCAGCTCATGTTGGCAGAACCGTCTCCCTGTTTTCTTAACTAATTTTATATGGCAGTTTCAGGACTGGCAGCAAGATGGTGTTTTTTTTAAGCTTTCTTGTCATCCTTCCTACAATGTTTATATTCATCACAAACCTTTTGCTTCTGTTTTTTCACCTTCTCACTTAATAATCTTCCCCTCCTCTGCTCAGCATTGTAAATATGGCTTAGGTCATCCATTATATTCCTGCATCAGCATGTAAACGCTACAGTTTTCTCTTCATCTGCTATAAAATTGTTAAATTAACACATGCCCTGCTTACTCTCTGGGTTGTGAGAATAAGAGAAGATAATCTGTATGAAAGCACTTGGTAACCAAAATGCAGTGTAAATGGTAAAATCTGATGTTTATTTTTAAGTGAGCCCTGAGATTTGCTCCTAATGTTAAAAGTATTGAAAGTTATCCTAATAGTACAGAGGAAGATTTAGCTGAACATTCAGAGATGTCTATTTCAAACTGTTAAAACACATACAAAGGTGAGGAAGGTGTGCCTTAACCTGTCATTAGTATACATAAAAGAAACTTAGTAAATGTAATTTTTTTTTTTTTGAGAGAGTGAGCGGAGTACAGGCAGAGAGAGAGGGATCTGAGGAAAGAGGATCTGAAGCAGGCTCTGTGCTGACAGCACAGCCTGATGCAGGGCCTGAGCTCATGAACCACAAGAGCATGACCTGAGCCAAAATCAGACACATAACTGACTGAGTCACCCAGGCACCCCAAAATGTTGTATTTTTATAATGTGCTTAATTTTTTAAATCAATTTTTAAGTAATGTTTTATGTTTACTTTTTAGAGAGACAGAGTGTGAGCAGGAGAGGGGCAGAAAGAGAGGGAGACATGGAAGCTAAAGCAGACTTCAGGTTCAGAGCTGTGAGACCGAGCCTGATGCTCGGTTCTAACTCCTGAACCGAGCCAAAGTTGGATGCTTAACTGCCTGAGCCACCCAGCTGCCCCTCATGTGTTTTATATTAAACAAATTATTTCAGATAGTAAACATTTTGTCCATCATTGCTGTTTTGCAATATTTAGGGTTCTCCCAAGTTTGTTCTCGACACTAGTTTTACTAGATAAAAGATATATTTCTTTAACTGTTCTGTAAAGAATTTTACAACGTTCTCAATTTGAAGTATAGTACTTCTCTAAGAAAACTAAATTAATGCATGGCATAAAATGGTAAAAAAAATGTTTTTCGAGAAGCTTTGTTCTTTAAATATCATAAAGCAAAAAATAACTTCTAGGTTTCATTCATATTTAGGTAAATGTACATTTATCATTTTCCTAACCAATAATTACTATTACTTTCCCCCCAAAATGTGCAGATTGAGAAAGCTTTGAAGGGCTACCTAAATGTACCTAGCCTCAATTTCAAAATGTTTTAGAAAGAGAAAAAAATACTATCAGAATAATGTAAAGGGTAAAAAAAAAAACTATCTCTTCCACTATTACCAAATTAATTTCAAGGTGAAATAAAATTTAAAAATAATAACAAAGTCCCTGAAGTCTGTCCCTTTCATTCAGTCTTACTGATACCAAGAATAAAAGAAGTTAACTTGAAAAGGAGCACATTCTTTCAAGCTAACATTTAAGTAACCTGTTTTTTTTTCTGTATTAGAATAAATATTTAACCATTTATGAAAATAAGAGTTTTTTCCCTTACCTTTTTTTTAACCTTTTTCCTGTGGACCTTTTCCTTACCCATTACTATTTCCATAAGTTTTGGATGGTTAAATAGAGATTAAGTTTATAAATCTACATCTCACTTTTACTCTTTGTTAACCACTATGATTTATTAAAAGATTTTCATAGGGTGTTGTTTCAGCCAAAGTATTGTATTTCTATTATTAGTTCATATCTCTTTTTAAAAGCAAAATAATCAAAAGTTGGATTACCCTCAATGAGTGTATAACACACACACACACACACACGATGTGGAGATAGGGTAACCAACTGTCGCAATTTGCCTAGACTTCTAGTTTTAGCATTGAAATTCCTGTGTTGGAAAATACATCAATCTTGGGCTGGCTAAGAGGGGTGGCCACTTAATGTTGAGAACACCAAAAATATATACACAAGGATTCTGAACAATTGTTCTGTTGTACTTCATTAAATGAATTGTTTTAATTTTTCGAATCTGGTTTTTGCAGGGAACCTTGGTGCAGTAGAGATTGAATGCCAAAATAACAAAAGCTCAGTAGGGTAACTAAGCTAAGACTATCACTAAATCACCAGGCTTTCTCTTTTCCCAATGCAGTAATAATGCCTGTGGAGTGAACAAAATGAAATACACTAAATATTTTTCAGTGTAAATATGAAACCATGTAGCAAAACATGAAATACCAAATTAACATTATTTCCTGTATTTAACATATTTTGCTTTTAAAACTTCCCCAAATCCAGCTGGTAATATATATGTACTATACTTTCAAATCTCTTATCAGTTAATATTTGAACAGCTCACAGCTGTGAAGTTTTTTAATAATTATTTTTGTGATGTGATAAGTAGATCTCTTGAAAATAATGAAAGGGCAAGTGACTATTAGAATTTAGTATGTAGTTAACCAAGTTCTGTGTTCTTGAGTTTTCAGGCTACTACATAGTCTGTTGCTCTTGTGTCAAAATCAGTTGATTCAGTTGAAATTCCAATGGGCCTTTTCAAACAGAAGTAGCACTGGGTGTATGAACATGATAAAAAGATACTAGTAAGGGAAGGACTTTTTTCTCTGCTAGATTATTGGGATAAATTGTTATAGAAACTGTAGGCTGAGATAGAATCTGTGTACTGATAAATATCTCAAGAAAAGCTTTATACCATTTTGGAATGGTGGGAGAGCTAGGTGTTAGGAGTTCACAAAAGAGAATGTGTTATCCTTACTTGAAACTGATAGATTTAACTTGGGGAAACCTGGAAGCCAGTGAATTTAGTGCAGAATGAGATTTTTAACAAGATTGGGACTGCTTTTCTTGGCAGCAAATACTAATATAGTGAGAACTTTCTTACCCTGTAGGTTGGTATGAATGGGGACCAGACTAGATTAAGAAGGTTAAAAGTAGGACCAACCTTTATGTGTTGGTTCAGAGTGGCATCATAAACAGGGTAATATTTCAAACTTGGGCAGCCCAAAGAAACACAGATCATCCTTACAGTTCTCAATACCATCGCCAAATAGCCAAAACACTTACCCTAGGTTCACTTACCATCAAATTAACATTTGGTAAATCTTCATTGCTATACTACCTGTGTTTTTAGTTTGTTGCAAAGAAATCATTTATCTCCCTTTTTTGTCTTTCATATACTAGTTTGCTGCAGTAGGAACAGTTTGATCAGTTTTCTTACTGCACTGACTTCAGAAACTAAATATTACACAAATGATTACAGAATAGAAACAGAGTTTGTTTTAGGAAGGAATTGTTAAATTGCTCTGAATTTACCAGGAAGCAGTATCACAAAGTGCCAGGGATGATCAAATTTAGAAAATATAAAAATTACAGAGAATCTGACTGAAAATGTAGGCTCTGGTTTGTACCCCCAAGATATTCTGAGTCCGTAGGTTTGGGATGGGTCTTAGCTGTCCTTCTAATGAACACAACAGGTTATTCGGCATAACTGGTCTATTCTGAGAAGCCGTACTACAGGCAGTTATTTCAAGGTGCAAAGTGGATTTTGTGTAAGATCGGAGGCATGAAATTGTGATCTTCAAAAATGCCAGGCAGTGAACTAGCTGTTTTGCCATACATTATTTCATTTAATCTTCTAAATAATCCTGTAAACAGGATATTATCTCCATTTTACAGATGAGGAAATTGAGATTTACTGAGATTAAATTCTTTGCCTCAAATTTTACACATCAGAACTCAGAACTTGTGACTGAATTCAGTAATCTTTATTGTATACAGCACTGTCCCTTAATATCTAGAGCTCTAGAATAGAAACAATGGAAGAAGAAAGATTATTTTGACAAGTGATTTTTTTCCCACGGTTTATTATAACCCTAAAACCACTAACATGAGTATCATCATTTTGATAACTCTTACAGTACGTGGAAACTAATTTAGGAAACTACTCACTTACCCTGAAACTCATTTACCTGGCCAAAACCTTCTTTCTCTGTTCTTTCTCATAAACTGCACTGAGTACCTGTTTGATCCCTTGATACTCTTTACTTTGCTCTGAAAACTGGCAAAGCTCATTGTTCTAAGTGGCTTTTTAAGTTGCCAGCGAGATGATCCACTTTGTACTGGGGAGAGGAAGAGTAGCTTTTTTAATCTTAAAGGTTCTCATTTGCCATGACATCAGTTATAAAAACTACCACAGTCATCCTCCAAGTACAAAAGCCCCAAATCATCTTGTTAACTACAGGCCCAAGGCTTACTTAAAGTCACCAAACTATAGTCCCTTTCTAGCCTCCTATGATCACAATATCCTCTGAAGGGTCAAAGTTTGTCTGGCCTATCAGTTATACAGACTTGAATTTTAAACCCCAGAGTGATCTATTGACCTGTGACTTTGACTGTTTTAATTGGTTAATTTGTAAGATTTGACCTCTGATATTTGCTAACTTTTTATAGGGAGTTGTATTTGTAACGGAAGAAGAGAAGAATAAAAAATATTAGTTTTAAAAGTGGCCTATGTGACTGCTTTTCTAAAAAGGTATTTAATGCTCTTAGTACTTTGGCTTATCTCTTTGAAATAAAGCTAATACACAGGATTGCCTTCACATTGTTGTATTCTTCCTTTCTTGATTGATAATTGCATTGTCTTAGAGTCTAGAAATTGTTAATATTAGCTAAAACTACTTGGCTGCTCTATCAGAAGTTCCTTTTTTGTCAAGTTTTTCTCAAACATGTTTCTGCCTCAAAAGGAGCCCCGGGTATTTATGAGGTAATGGAGTACCTAAGAGGCCTAATTTTGTGGACATATTACGGTAAAATATAATTTGGGGGTATTAACTTCCCAGCTTCTTCCTTTAAAAAGTAACCCCATAAAAAGTCATTGTCTGTCTCTGGATATCCCAGTTATTTGCTATCATTTAAGCCAAGAAAGCTCTGTGGTTTGCTTTTTTTCTAGGTTTCATGTTTATGTAACCTAAACATTCCTCAATCTTGTCTCCTACAGGTAGACTGGGTACAATGTGATGGTGGCTGTGATGAGTGGTTTCATCAAGTTTGTGTGGGTGTATCTCCAGAAATGGCTGAAAATGAAGATTACATCTGTATAAACTGTGCAAAGAAACAAGGGCCAGATAGCCCTGGTCAAGCACCACCTCCTTCCTTCATAATGAGCTACAAACTACCAATGGAGGATCTTAAGGAGACCAGTTAGCAGTTGCTGGGTTAGTTTGGGACATGGGGGGAAATGGACCACATTGAGACCTTAGTCACCAAGTAGAGTGGTTTAGATCCACTCAGAATGTTGCTTCCAAAGACAAATGGCCTTCAGAGAAAGTCCTCTTAGCGGACTTCCTCTTTGCATGGACTGTGTGACCTACATTCTCTTCCAACACATCTATGCAGAGGGTGTCTTTGGTACGGCAGCCAATATTTCAAGTTATGTCTCCTCTGAGTATGGTATGTTACTTTACAGCCAGACATTTGATTAAGCTGTAGAGTGGCTGGTTGGCATGAATACATTGGTATGCTAGCAGGGCATGTAGGATGTGGCTTATGGCCAGTTGATATTAGTTAGAGGTTTACAACCTAGGGACAGTACCATCTGGAGGTGCTGATTACTTGGCTCTCCTTAGGAAAGTTGGACAGGAGTGAGAGTACCACTCTCCTTCTACTGTTACCTGGCATATAATGCCCTGCAGAGGCAGCCATGGGAGCAACAGGGCCAAAGTTACTCCTGTTGGTAGTCATGGGACAGTAGCACAGTCTAGACTCCAGCTACTTGTGTGTGTTTGTACCAAGAAGAAAACCCCAAATGAGAGGCAGATCACCTTATCTTCCTAAGGAGGAGTATGTCATCTAGTTCAGAAGTCTGACTAGATTGGATTCTGGGAAGAAGAGCTTTTCTTATTTCAAGACAAGGAGACTTTTTTTTTTTTTGGCTTCGAGAAGTCTTGCTGTCTTGGGTCTGCATTTTAGAGACGAGCAGGTACATGGATCCAGGCTCCTGCAAAAGAAAAGAAGACAAGTCCGAATGTTTTACTGAGACGCAGTGATGCATGCTTTTCGGGGAAACCTTCATTCACAAGTATACCAGATACCACCAGGCTTCAGGCATGGCCATGAGCAAGACCAGCAAATAACAGCTTTTTGCCTTGCAGCCCTGACCCCGATGTCTGTTGTTTCCAACACTGGCAATTCCTGAGAGTGGCCCACAGCAGATGCTGTTGAATAACACCTTGGCTTCATCGGAGAATGTGGGGTTGTAGCACCTCTGGGTGATGAAGTTGTTTTAGTAAATCCATTTTTAAAAAAAGAAAAAAGGACTTGTTTTTACTTTTTTCTAAATGTCTCTGACTACTGACTGTTCTATAAATAGATTATTTTTCCTTTTTTAATATACATATATGGATATATAAATATATATATATTTACTGTTACCAGCAGCATATGACAGAGTTTTCAGCATCAAAAATCCATTTGGGGGCTTGCTTTCTCTTTTTGCTTTTTAATAAAGAAACCCCATTCCTTCCTTGTAGTACAAGGAGTTAGCACTTCCTTCCCCATCCTTCTGGTCTAGCCTGACCAGATCTTCCATCTTGTCTTTGTTCAAATAGATAATTGTACTTCTTTGTGTTACTGGAACTGGTCCCTGTCTACTGGGAAACTTGGTCTTAACTATTTCTGTGATGGCTGGTTTGTTTTGTTTTTGTATGTGAATGTTTGAAACTATGGTGCTGTGCCCTCTTCCTCATGTTGTGTTTGTTCTCTATTCTTGTTAAGGTGTTAGGTAAGCTGTATGGAAACTTTTATTAGAAGGGGACTGATTTTTTTTAAAGGACAAAGAAACAACCCCCAAAAAACTAAAAATAGTGTTTTGCCTTCACTGTGCCGTGTCCCATTATTTTGGTTAAAAATCTGTGGCTTGACTTAATTTACCAGTTTTCTTTTTAAAAGGGGGGAGTAGGGTGGGCCTAGAGAACAGTTTATAATCTCCTTTTCCCTTTTTGCCCCCGTCTCTTTTAAAGAAATGTCTTCTAGTAACTAGAAGTGAAATGTACTGTCCAGTTACAGTTTGAGTGGGTATGAGATTTAACTCAAAAGGCATCTTGCTAAAAAAAAAAGAAAAAGAAAAAAAAGGCAAAAGCTTTCCTGTAAAACCCAGATTCTGTAAATGCTTTCTCTGTGGTTCAAACTACCTAATTTTTAGTCCGTCTTCCCTTAATCTTATATAACATTTTTAGTGTTTTGATCTGTCACAAGGCTCATAAGCATTGCTGTGCATGATCTCATCTTGTCTGTATATGATTTAAGATTTCAAGGGATATTACAAGGTAACTTGTAACCAATTTCATAAATTTTCATTTTTCCAATCTATATAAAGATATTATTAAGAATTTTCATTTGGTTGATGTTATAAAAGAAAGCACAATATTTTTTGCCTTTTTTCTTCTCCGAAAAGATCTTCAACTACCTTTGGGTTAAAAATTGAATGCAGTTTTAAGTGATGGCTGCCTGGGTGGAATACATTTAAAAATAGTTTATCTTTTCTTCCTAGTCACCCATTAACCTCACTCAGCCATCAGTGGAGGGGCACGGGGATAATGAGAAAGGTAGCTGAGGTGCTGTGCTTCTTGAAGTATGGTGGGTGGGTACAGGTGGCTGTTTAGGAAATAATTTGTGTCCTTAATATGGTATTTACCTGCTGGAGACCTGAGAGAAAAATGCAAGGTAGTCCTCAGCCATGAATAGCTCCCTGTTTATCTTCCAGTGTTTTGAAGCATAAATATATCATTTAGTTGATTTTGTGGGATTTTCTGTATTTATTTGAAAGTCACAAAGGGTTTGGTTTGACTCTTGACTATAGATTTAGACCAAGGCTGAGAAGAACAGATCAGAGACATTAGTTTAAAAAAGAGAGAGAGAGAAATGAACAAATACAAGTCTATAATTTTGGAATTAATGAACTAAGATTCATCTATTTAAAGACATGCTGGTGTTCTAATAAAATACTGTTTTCAGTTAGAGGAAATTACCTATTTACAACTTAATCCATTCTTCAGTGTTGTAACATTTTATATTAAAATTTGATTTAAAATGTTCCTTCTCAAAGTTGCAAATATTCACCATTGGTATTTTAACTTTGGTGTTAATTCTTTCAAAGGTATTTCTTACTTTCATTGTAACTATGTTGGGGAAGGTTATAGAAAGAAAAATGGAAAAACGCTACATAGGTCTTTAATACTCTCAAAGGGTAGGTTATTGGAACTATGCAAATTCTCAAGTTTACAAATGCAACTATAGCATTAGTAGTAGTTGGCTTTCTTGTTGGCAGAAGAGGGGACATTTTCTTCCCACAGATGGCTATTTTACTTCCTGATAGTTATTGCAAAAAAGCCATGTTGAGATTCAGATGCTACGCTCCCTTTCTAAGTTGCTGCAAACCACCTTTGCACTGCATGATTCAAATTTGTGCCTCAATAAAATTACAAATTACTGTGTGTCCTACTTTGAATAATTGAAAAGGTAAGCATTAAATTTGTGACTGCCTACTATGTACTTTTAATAATCAACATCCTAGCAAAGCTAGCAGACCTGTAAGATTAGAACAGTTTTTACCTGTGCTTCACTTCTGTTCTTCTCTGCTTTTGTCTTTGATGTCCAAGAAATGTCTGTTTATTTGTTTTTCTTAATTTTAACATTCTGGATGCAGTTGAGTGCACGTAAAAGAAACTCCCTGCTTGTCAGTATTTTAATTCTCTAGTACATTTGTATGAATATGAGCCGGTACTTAAAACAGGATTAAAGGAAAAATTGAGAAAGCCCTTCTTTCAAAGGATGGGACTATCTACTTTTTAGAGAAGAACATGACAATTTGGAGTAGGATTTAAAAATTGTAAATTGTGGAAAAATTAAGCTGTTGAAGTCCCACATATAACCAGGTTCAATAAAGGTTTACATTCAGAACTAGCTTCCTATGTGTGTAGAAAGTTGCTTTTGCAGTAGGTCTGTTAAGTATAAATTTTAAAAAGCAGGCAGTGATTGTCTTTTACTGTTTGAAACCCTTGCCCCCTCCGCCTTTATTTTAAATTAAAGCATATCATTACTTCTTTAGATATGGATGTGCCAAGTGATATTTACAGCATGCGAAGGAAACAGTGGGGTGTGAGTCCGTGTTGGAACTGCAGTCTTCTCTTGGCCTATCCAGTCACCACTATGCAATGGCTGATGTGCACTGGGAAAGGATGTGACGGGTGTAGATGTATCTTGCTTATTCTGACTTTTGCAATACTCCAAGATGTCTAAACGGGAATGTCTTTTGTAAACCTCAAGATCCTCTATTGATTATTCTCTTACATATTTATTTACCTGTTAGTGAGACACTTCAATATAAAATGGACTCTAATTTACCAAGGTTTTTGGTGGTGCCTTATGAAAAGTATGACTTGTTTTCTTGTTTTTGGAGCATGTTTTCCATTTCTTTTGTTTTCTAAAAGAATATTAGATATGGTTATTTGCATTACATCTAAAAAATAAAAAAATTTCTGTGCGTGTGTGCTCAGGTTCCCCCCTACTCTGTCATTTACATTGTGGCAACTCTGAACGGTAACCAAGTAAAGGTAAATGTTGGTAATTAGTATTGACCTGGAGGCAAACTGGCAGGCGCTGCAGAGCTTTTCACCTGGGCCAAAGCCCTTTCTGATACTGCACTTGCCCTCTATAAAATCAAATACCGGCCTCAAGTAATTTGATCACCGGTGTGATTAGCCTATTATGGAGAATGGTGTTTTCAGAAAGTGTGAAGTGGAAGAAGTGATTCCTGGAGATTTCACCTGTCCTGCTTTCAGCAAGAATCCAGCAATGATCAACAACCATTTCCGCACCTTTGATTCTTGAGCACTTTGATCCTCGCAGCAAACCATAGCAGGGAAAATGAGGAAATACTTTATTTTGGCCTCCTAATGCTTAAAACTAGTTCAAACTACAGCTTACTTCAGAGAAGTAAATAGCATTTTTTACTCATTGCCAAGGTTACCAGGTCATGCGGGCATTGCTGAAAATGAAGGTTCTGCTTTCAGTGAAATTGGCCTCAAATATGATGTGACTGTGTATATATTTCTTGGTATGGAAAATTGGTGGGAAGAAGCGGGAGGTGGGGTGGGGATCTGGTTATCTCTTGGAAAATAGTTTTCTTGCCAACAAAAAAAGACCCCTGCAATTTCATACAGTGACAAATTTCTTAAAAATTGTGTAGGGTCCTCCCAGTTCAGATCAAATATTTCTTGGAGCCTTGGCATTGTGGTTAATATTAATAAATTGAAGATCCAGAATCTTAGCCATTAGACATGAATTGGGAAGTCACATATGATACAAGGAGAGAAAATACAAAAGAGCACAAAAATGCTATATGATTAAGCTTAGAGTGATTTTGGCATATCTTTATTCTTTTCACCTATTTTTAAAGAGTATTTCTACTCTATTTTAGCAGGAAGAAAGATTGTATTAGCATTTACATATAGTAAAGTTCCGTGAAATTTCTTAACCATAGATTTCCTAACCTTGACTTTGGAGCTAGGTTGTATATATTGTTAATGGGAAGAAAGACAGCACAAGAAGTCTTGAAAATAGCTTGGTAGGTCCAGATAGTAACCCTTGTATTAAGGACCTATGATGAGTTGCCAGGAATATAGGGATGAAGTCAGAATTGTCTGTAGTTTACGAAAACAAGCAAAATGAGCAAAAACTTAGAAAAGCCCAGATGAAGATATTAGGATTACACAAGGTAAAGACCATGGATTTAGGAATCAAAGAATGGGATTTAGCTCTCTCTGACTTATACCAGTTTTTTTGAAACTCAGTTTCCCACTTTTTGTGGGTTAGTTTGTATGGATACAAAGTTACAGCCCCTCTCCTTGAGAGTGACTTTTAAGAGTGTTTCCTATTAAAGCTTTTTATAGAATTTCTAGAGGAAGATGGTACATGTAGTCCAAATCCCTATGTAATGTTAGAAAAAGTCGTCTTAGTAGTTCTGGGGAGGGACTATACAGATTGTATTGAATATTCTGTTTTTAGAAAATGTAAGTATTGGTCACTAATTTAACAGAGCTTACCGGTAGTCTTCCCTTTGCTTGGGTCTGGATTTTGCAGAGTTCATCAAGCACTTTTACATATGTCCCAAGACTGGCATCTCATTCTATCCAGTGCCCAACTGTGTGGAGGTAAAGTGAGAAGCAGTCACATTTTGGCATACCTAACTATTCCACTCCCACCCCCTGAATTGGTATTTGGCCTTAGTAATATTTTTCCACCACTCAAAGCAAAGGCCTCTTCCCACTGAGACCAGTAGTCTTCTCTCTGGCCTAACCGTGCCATCCTCTCTACTTGGGGCTAAGCTTTGTTGAGACACAAAATGGAGTTTTATCGTTAAACTCTTTGGAACCAAGAACAACAGTTTAAGCACATCTAGTCTTGGTCAGAGCTCAGAGCTTTTATTTTGTCATAGACACATGGCTTCAGAGTTCCAGTTGGAACGTTAAGGCTGGTTTGATTCGCTTTGCTTCTCATCCCTGTAATTCATCGCTGCCAACTAAACTAGAAGTCCGTGAGACCTGGCTAGCTCAGTAAAGCATGTGACTGTTGATCTCAGTGTCGTGAGTTCAAGCCTCATGTTGGGTGTGGAGCCTACTTAACAAGAAAGAAAGAAAAGAAAAAAAAAAAAAAAGAATAGATCAGAGCCCATTCAGTCATCCTTCCTCTCTCCTTGTATTCCAGTGCTGTCACCTACTATCCCCAATTCATGTTCTCATTGTGGCCCTTCCCGCCAATTTTTTGCATTATAAGGGGATGCCTGGCTGGCTCAGTCAGTAGAGCATGTGGCTCTTGATCATGTTGTGAGTTTGAAGCCCATGTTGGGCAGAGAGATTACTTTGAATAAATAAGTATACATTATAAAGACTGGCTTCTCTATTTCTTTGTTAACTTCTACTTTTTCATTAACTGGATCCTGGCTCTCAGCTACACTTTAGTGAAATAGACTTAGGTCTATTTCAAGTCGAAGGTGCCCGTTTTCTCACTTTACTACTACAAGGTGTGAACCAGTAGATTATAGGGGCTGTTGCCTTATGTTACTGATTTCTACAGCCACACATTGAGGCTTCTGACACTCCGCTGTATCACCATCTATCCTCTTTACTGTCATCTCTGGTTACTCCTTTACATTCATTGAGGACTTGGATGGTTCAAGAACATCCCTGTCTCCAACCCTGCCATTATTCTGGGCAATATTATTGATCATGGTTGATTTGCTGTTTCTGTACCTCCACCTCCAATAATCATTTTCCTTCTTTTTTCCCCCCAATACTTACTCTTCACTTCGTTTAGCAAACCAAGGCCAAGGTTTGGATTCTGTCAAAAACTTACTTCTGAAATGTTAAAGTCTAGGACTCTACTCCTATTCTGTTTTTTAAAAATGTTTATTAGAGCGTGAGTGTTGGGAGAGAGGTAGAGGGAAAGGCAGAGAGAGAGAGAATCCCAACCAGGCTCCACGTGGAGCCCCATGTGGGGCCCAAGACCATGACCCTGAGATCATGACCTGAGCCAAAATCGAGAGCCAAATGCTTAACTGACTGAGCCACCCAGGCGCCCCAACCATCAGCATTTTAAAGTGGTGTCGTCAGAGGCTCTTCTCTATATACCCTCTTTGGATGCCCTAGTTCACTTCCAGTTACCACTTACCACGTTTATTCTCTGATACTTCCCAAATCATTATCACCAGTCCGTGCTTGCTTGCTTTGCTCTTTAGTCAACTGTCTGGTAAGCATTTCTATTTGTATGATTTCAACCACTCCAAACTCATTGTGTCAAAAACCAAACTTTTCTTTCTACTCCCAAAGCAGTTCCTCTTTATTCCCTCCAGAAGAATAGCTTGTTGCCCAAGCCAAAATACTGTGAACCATCCTGTATTTTTTCTGACCACTCCCTTCCTGTATGTAATTATCTCCTCTGTTCTCATTGTGGTACATTAGCTCAAGCCCTTCTCAGTTTTCCCCTAGATTTCTGCACTAGTCTTTAGTCTGGTCAGTCAAGTTTATCTTGCAAATTACTACCAGAATGAACTATCTAAAAAGCCAGTCTGTTTAACATATTGTCCAATGGAATCTGCCCCATTTACCTTTCTAAGCTTGTCCTATTTCCACACACACCCTCAGTCACTGCTTCAGACACGGATATTCATTTCCTAGGCTTTTTCTGGAATGTTCTAGTTCTGTCATTCTCAAGATGTCAGTTTAAATGCTGCCTCTTCAGAGGCCCCTTGTTCTCTTCCAACAGCTTATTCTACCTCCTTATGGGACTTTGCAATATGTGATGTAATTATTTATAAGTTCTATGAGAGCAGGAGCTTTCTTTCCTTTATACCCAAGAACTAGGAGAATACCCCACATATGGTAAACATTCAGTAGATGACTTGAATAAATGTTGTTCCATGTCTTTGTCCCTCTCTATATTGTTGTCTCTCAATTTATTGTACTCTGTTTGGGCTGCCATGCCCTCACCCACCCTCTTCCTTACTACCTCCTGTTAAAGAACAAAAACTCAACTGAGTAAATTTGAGGATTTAATTGGCCTTATTAAGTGATTCATGAGGATAGCATCCTATCTAGCAAGTTAGAGGGGGAGCTCTGAGGACTTGTACAAAACAGAAGATTATTATAAGAGGGAGGGTGGGGCAATGAAGTTACTAGCAAAGGAGAAGAAAGGATTGTTTCAAACAATGTCACTTTCCCTTTAGGGAAAGATCAGGAGGTCTCAGGCGGATTACCATATCTTCTTTGAGGGGGGTGGGTGGACAGAGAGGGCCCATGTGACAGATTACCTCATTGGTACTAACCAGAAGATTCCTGACTGATCAGTTAAGACTACGTTTCTAGGGGAAATTGAAACTGAAATTAGGTTAGGTATTAGGCCCCAGTTTGGTGACTTGGCCTGACATAAGTGGCTCCATGGTTGTCGTCTGAATACTCCTCATTCTTCAAAATTCAGCTCATCCCCAAAACTCTTCTGAGAAATCTTACAGGCTAATCCTTTCCTCCTAACATGATGTGGATGTCCTTTCATGGAGCTCTGATAACATTTATACTATGGTTCATAAAGTTTCATCTCTGGATCAGCAGTATCAGCAACACCTGGGAATTTGTTAGAAACACAAATTCTTGGGACCTAACCTAGACCTCTTGAATCACAAACCCTGGGGGCAGGGGCAACAACCTGCATTTTAACAAGCCCTCCAGGTGGTTGTGATACTTGATGAGGTTAGAGAACCACTAGACTGTCTTAGAGTCATGGCATTTATATGTCCAGCTTCTAACACAATGCCTACTAGAACAAGTTTATTGTAAAGACTTCCTTACAAAGAACTAAAATCCATTATCCTGTAGCCTCATACATCAATCCTGATTCTTTTGAGGATATGAAAAACTAGTTCAACTGCCTCTGTTTGGCACCCTTTCGATATTTGACAGTAATTTTTTTTTTTAACCTTCCCACCCCTCATCGT